AATACAATGTCCGGTAACACCATGATGATATTCCCTTGTACATTCAATAGAACCATCTTCATCCCCCAGTACATTTAAAAAAAAACCATTGTCCAGTAAGAAAAATTCCAAGGGCCTTGGATTATTATTTTCCCAAGGCGTGACAGATATTCTGCTCAAAGCGTCAGTCATCAGATCACACGCGCACCCCAACCGGGAATATATGGTTAAGCGGCTCGTGTATCCATCCCTCGTCGCGAGGAATAAGAGTTAGTTTTAAGAACGAACCATTATGTACTAAATGTAACTCTACCTACGGCGCGGGGTATGTTGGTTGCGTTGTTGATGTTGGAGCCTCGGAGGGCCGAATGGATCGCGGGGTTTCAGTGGGGTGGTATCTCGAGATATGTATAGAATCAGGATTGCAAATAAGACGCATCCAACATTCCTATCTGCGGAGGTGTGTAGGGCAGTTTTTGCGCAATCGTAAGGTTGGTGTTGGAAACGTGGGGTGTGTTCTGCGGAGGATTCGTGGCGGAGACCATGCGGTTGTTCCTGAGACGCTCTACTCAGATGTTCCTGAGGGGCGCTTACTTTGCTACGTATACTCGGCTATCCATTGTGTGTGTGAGAAATAATAAAATAATATTATTATTTATTGTTTGGATTTTCGTGGTTGGTTGATGCTGTTGGAAGGATTGTGGTCATCTGGTCTGGTCAACCCCAGATTTTGCCTTGGAGAAAGGGACCGATAAGTTTACAGCCTTTGGGATTAAGGGTGGTTTTAGAGGCCCTATCGATGGTGCTTCTTATCTTTGAGGATGGAATAAGTGGAAATGCTACGTGTTCCTGACTTGGTCAATTCCTTATAATTATTCGAACTCAATTTTGTATTGTCGCCTTAAGAAAGGTATTCAACTAGAACTACAACATTCGCATCAACAACAAAATACAGCAACCAAAAATGCCTTACCAAGTTCTCATGACTTACCTCTCGCACAATTACAGATCGCCACGTCTTCAGGTCACTTTAACCAGTGGCGAGGTCATTCAGTCTATCTCACGATCCTACTGACCAATTCTGCTTGTTGGTGTTTGACGTATGTGCCCCTTTGGGGGTGGCGGCGCATATTTTGGCGATTTTGAACATCAGGCTCGGCAAAGTGTAGGTCACGATGTATTACATACTTATTAGAAATTGCCGATGAGTTTTACAGTAAGTCATGAAGTACCGAGATGTACGTAGAATTTAATTACTGGCGATGCACGGGACTTGGGTTTGGTGTATGTGGTATCGTCGCTTCAAGCACGTGGTTTGTGGATTGCGACTCGAAAGAGTTGGAATTTAAATATTCAATATTTTTATTATTTTATTTTATTAGTTGAATATTTTTGTCTTCTTGTTTGGGTGTCACATGAGTATTCAAGAAGAGGCGTTTGTTGTCGATGCACGTGCTTGCGAAAAGTGACTTTCGATCTTCAAAGACATCTTCTTTGAGCCACAAACATCTATCGATACAAGAGTTTACACGCAAATCGGCTTTCCCATCCTCTTTGTCATTGTGGACCAGACTCTATCAATCGGCAAGTCCCATGGAGACATCTCCGTTCGACATTTCCCCTGTTTGCTACATCTATATCTTGGGTTCCGGATGCGGAGACGTATTAGATTGTCTTAGACATAGATTTCGAGGTGTCGATATCTCCGCAAGTGTGGCTGAAATCGCATTTCATATTTGGTAATTTGGTGTTGCGATGTTTGCAGCATGGGACGATTGATCAACTGAAAAACATCAGCAATCGTACGCTTTCAACAAAATTTGCTGCCTGCATCTCCGGTGAGCAAGTAAGATATAACTTAGTATGATCCTTATATATTTCCTCTTGCAAAAACGCCAAGTTTTCCTTCCCCAGGTCTCAAATGTGATCGATCTCGAATCCATGTCTGACAACTACTTCCTCTTCAAAGAGTTTAGTAAATAAATAAATAAATGAAATCCAATTAATTTCTCCCCAGGTCTCACTCCACAGACACACCCCCTCATTATTTCTTTTTCTTCTTCCAATACCCATCCCTCTTTGCCATCCCTTGAATCTTCCAGCTGAAATCGGCATCAGCGTCGGCCCCAGGGATGGCCCGAACTCGGTTCGGCAAACAAGTTTCGGCTCGTTTGTACCACAGAATCAGTCAAGAGATCCAGATCTTCAGGGTCGTGGTATGAAGCGGGACGGGGAAGCGAAGTCCCCGGTTCTTGGATGGAGGAGGTGAGACATGGGGTCGTGTGTCTCTGTTTTTTGGGAGCTATCACATTCGTGAATTCCTCAAGTTTTGTGGCGGGGTCTGGATTTTGGAATGTGGGGGTGTGGGTTGCAAACAGTAGAAATACAAACGGGAGTTGATTGCGAACGAGTTCGAGTAATGCCGGAAAAGCTTGATAGACTGGAAATACAAAGCCAGGAGAAGACATCTACGTACGATGCCGAAACTATAGCAAGATCTTCATCAGTATTGCGATATGCCTCAAGTCAAACACCTAAAAGGTAAGTAGAGTTGAACAAATTGAGCATGAGATCACTCCTGAGAGTCCTTCCACAAGTCACTCCGCTGTGCAGCAAGCGTAATGACGAGATTGTGTCACTGGTACCTGCAGTAACCAGTACTCCAGCAGTTCCAAATTCCCGTTTTTGCCGGGGACTTCAGCAAAGAATATGTCAGTTTTCACATCTTGCGACAGGAAATTCTTCTCGTTTTCGAGGAAATTCACACCTAAGATTGATATCAAGTTGGGTCAAAGAGTCATTGCCAGCTGAACATGCATGATCCGTCATGTCGGATTTGAGTAGGTTGCATGGTAACCAATTCTTTTACGCATTCTGACATCCATCTAGGCCCAGCCACCGCCTGTGGGTAGAATGGAGGTATCTCCGTACTGCCGTCCAGTATATCGGAATGTTCCCGTCATATCTTACCCATGACGGCAGCAAGATGTGGGCGGGAAACACAGCTTGGACTATTTTCTTGTTTAGAAGCACAAGTAGTATCCAAATAGATACGCAAACAAAATACAAGGAAATTTGGGGAGCCGCGCTAAGATCAAAAAAATAATGAATGGCAACTTTGATACGAAGTAAAATCAAATCGACGTTACACCCAGGGAGTGGTAACACGGGCCGACGAAGACGAAAAAACATCACCCGTCCTTTCGACTCAAGCTCATTGAGGACCGTGACTATCACTACGAGATACAATCGTTTCCGATCTAAGGGTTATGTCTGACCGAGTCGAATGGACAACATCGACCCAACAAGTTTGATGTGGGAGAAAGATCCAACTTTGACAAGGGACCAAGATGTCACAAAACCGAGAACGCGGTACTTGGAAATATCTTCCAGCCACTAACTGTTCCCGAGTCTATCACAAAAAGTGCCACTCCACTTTCTTCTCTGCACAGAAATCGCGAGCTGTCTGTCCACTGTAGGCTTGCATGATGTGGCTTCCCGCGGACACACGGGGAAGAATTGAGATAACTCCCGGTGGTACGAAGTTGTAATTCGTTGCAGGAAGAAACAAAAAAGGAATTAGCAAAGCATCTTTCCAGTCATGCGTGAGTACGATTACGAGGCTTCTTGCATTGGTATCCCTTAGCTTCCTCAAGATTGCCTCGTTGGTACCGTCAAGCGGTTACCGCGCATACCACGGGTAACTGATATATTGGGACCTTGTCCGAATAAGACTGCGCTTTGCATCGAAAACGATGTAGGAAAATGAGGTTACTGATATTTGAAATATTTTAATCGGGATGAGCTCATGAGCGGTGGAAAGTCAAGCACATCGTCACAGTGCTGCCAGCAGTTATCCGTGCCATCCTTGAACGCCCGTCCAACTAACCCCACCGAGCACAAGCCAAGTCACCAGGAAAGAATAATATTAATTGATTATTTATTATTTCATCCGAATATAATTTATTCCCATTCAATATTCTGTTTCGTATAGAAACAGAAAGTATAAAAGCTGAATAATCTCCTGCCCTTCCAGTCGGGATATATCTCGGTAATCTCGTCGCGTAACAGAATTGCGGAGAAGATGGGGAAAGGATGACTCAGATTCTAGGCCGAAAGATTGGACCTTCGTAACAGTCATTTCGCTGTAAGCGAGGGGCGACTTTGTGGTTTTGATAGAGCTCTGTTGTGTTGCGTTATATCGTGGTTGAGAGTAACTTCCTTAATAGCTAAGCGAATTGAGTCATCGAGACTCATTCTCAACCAAAGACTCATTGCCACACGCTCGAGGTCAAGCGACAGCAAGAGTGTATTTCAATTTCCTAACGGCGCACTCCGCTCTCGTTTGTCTTTTCTTCTCTACAATTACAAATCCTTCTTGCAACGTTTCGTCAAGAGCAAACAACAGCGATACATTTCAGATTAGCTCGGCCACTGTATCACTGTGAATCCGTTGTACGCCTCTTTCCACCATCTTCTGTTATCCTTCCTATCCGAACCACATTATCTTCAATCTTGGATAGCCACCAGATCCCACAACGACAATCACCACACCCACAATAATTATGGCGTCCAGCTTAAAATCAACACAAAACCCACATACAGGTCAGCAGCTGTCCCTTCACCGCTCTATCAGACCCTCTTGATATGTTGATTCTCGTTCTCTTCTGCATGCCACAAGGTTGCAACGCATACTTCGTGGATAACATGCCCGAGTGATGGGGGACGGATGACTGATGCGTTGGCAGAAGTTGTAATCGGACGAGATGCCGCCTCACGCGGTGGGCGCCGCCATGGAGAGCAGCCGCTGAAAAACAGGGTTTGTAGATATTTTAGCAGCACAGGTATTTACTTTTATTTTTCTGACAATATTTTTATTCGTTGGAGAACGCCTTGCTATGCATCGTATGAATGCGGACAGGCGTGTTGTGCAGCATGCTTTGCCAATCTCGTGATTTGGCTCAGCCAAAGCGTGGGAATAGTACATGTTTGACATCGAACTGTTGGGAACATGACCGAGAATGGCTTTTGTCATTCGTAGGCTGTGCTACACGCCAAATATGAAGCAGAGTTACACCACGTGATGATGGGAAACACAAGAGGACTCGAGGATAGTCCAGCACCAGGTTTTCAATGGCTAACAGCATTCTTTGGTAGGTAATTGCAGAGCGGGCAACGACTGTTCCTTCCTGCATGATGTGTCTACAATACCTCGAACACGAGTTTCGGACCGTGGAGAGGTACCGGAATCCTCGGATTCCCCACGTACCCCAACAGACAACACTCAGCTCGTCCAAGACCGCAAGCAGGCATTAACTCAGCCCATTGCTTCACGTGTTGTATCAAAGCCAGTAACTCAAGCACAAACTCAAGATCCCCGGGAATTCCAGGTCGGGCAGATACGAAGACGATTCCAACCAAAGGAATCTCGGCAACACGATGGCTCTGTGGTGCTCAAGTTCAGCCTTCGCCCGTCGGACCCTGACTTTCCCTTTGAGATGTCAGCATTAGATTGCAGTCTCTCTGTACCAGTGGCACATCCAAAGGCGGACCCTTCGTTAAAGGTTGGCAATTCGGACATCCCTAGAGGTTTCGCGCTCAATATCGAATCAGGATTCGATGGCCTTGTTAAACAGAAACCGGATGCAACACTACTGGAGTTGGTGAAAGCACTTGACCGGAATCTCGAGACATTTTTATCTGCACCCAAGGCAGATACAGTTAAATTGGTACCCAATAAAGACACGAGGCACCTCGCGAATGTTCCCACACGTTTAGTGGAGCCAGCCACGATAATCCACAAGGCTGAAGACGTACAGCCTCTGCAGTCATCACTCAGCAAGCCAACGACAGTTACCCCGAAGCCAACTGTGTCGTACACTGCTCAACAGAAAGCTGAAGCTGCTAAGCGACGAGAAAATGAAGTTCGCCAGCTGGAAGCGAGAATGGGTCGTCTCCCCCTTTATAAAAAGTCAGGTGATGGAATCGCTTATACACTACCTGTCCAGCCAAGACGACGAGGAGAACTTCCCATAGCAGTTCGAGCTATCAAGTCTGTACAGTTGTTTATTCCCCTGCTTTATCCTTTACAGACTTGTCGTATTCAGCTTGATGGTGTCGACCAAGGTGGGTCGAGGGCTATTGAGCGTGGATTCCAATCAAGAGCAACTGAACATGCAGAAGCTACTTTGATGGGTCATGTCAATTTCCTGGCTCAGAATATGCATGTATTTGCAAAGGACTTTCAAGAAGAGCAAAAGCCAATTCCGATTGTGGCCCAAACCACACAGGTTCCCTCGGACACACCTCCAGTGACTGACAAAGGCAAAGGCGTTGAGGGTGTGCAAGATGCTGAACGAAGTCACATTCAATACATTGCTCGGCCCCCAGAATGGACGATAGTCACTCGAGAAGAGCTGTCGGGTTCTGATTCTGATGGTTACGATTATTCATATGATTCAGGCGATGACTTGGACACTGAAGATGAAGGAGATATCGTTGAACTCAAGAAGAAAGACACTGAAAAGTTACCAGAGCAGCCGGCACAGAATCCTGAGCGTGGAACAGCAATCTCATTTCCGTTCATCGAGTTTTACGGGCTTGAGTTACTTGAAATTGCGACACTCAACATCACCGTCAAGTGTGAGCGATGCAAGGATGTTATGGAGGTCAAGAACCTGAAGAATGGCTCACCGAGATCTGAAAGTTGTAACAAGTGCGCAAGCGCTCTCAGTATCAACTTTCGGCGAGATTTGGTTCACGCTCATGCTGTTCGAGCCGGTTTCCTAGACCTGGAGGGCTGCAGTGTGGTGGATATGCTTCCAAGGTAAGTCATTGCCCCTGAATCTTTCAGAAAATCTCGCTAAGACCACCCAGCACATTTCTCCCAACATGCTCTCAATGTTCAACAACATACCCCTCACCAGGCATAATATCTGTCCAAGGCGAATCCACCTCCAACATCTGCCGGGAATGCCACCAAAAATTCACGTTCAAAATCCCTTCCGTAAAATTCCTCCGCATCACGCAAACCGGCAACCTCCCCGCCCCCTCTGGTCCAAGAAAACGCAAAGAAGTCCTCGGTCTCGTCCCCGGCACCGAACTCCCTAAACGTGGACGCTGTCGGCACTATACGAAGAGCTTTAGGTGGTTTAGGTTTAGTTGTTGTCAGAAGGTTTACGCGTGTGATAAGTGTCATGATGAGAGCGAGGAGCATCCGCATGAGTGGGCGAATCGTATGATTTGTGGGTGGTGTAGTCGCGAGGGGAACTATCGACCGGAGGATTGTGGGGTTTGTCATGGTGTGCTGGTTGGGAAGAGTGGAGGGGGATTCTGGGAGGGTGGAAAGGGGACGAGGGATAGGGTTAAGATGAGCAGGAAGGATAAGAGGAAGTATCGGAGAATTGGGACGAGTGGTAAGAAGTGATATACAGTTCACGATCGGGTACGATGAAATGGCTTGTTTCGTTCTCTCGGGGCTATGATAGCCTAGGTTCGCAAAAAGCTGATGGTCGTCACCCTGACATATCGCTGATGTCTTTTAAGATTGAATGATGGATGGATATAGTATTAGTTCTATTCTTAAATGACAATCATAAGATATAATGAGAGTCATAACACCAGTAGTTGAATTGGGTTTGCAGAAACGCAGCCTCTTGAAGATGCAAGATTATATTCTACTTCCAAGTCGCTTGTTCTTTGCGCCGACTCTCTCAAATTCTCCAAAGATGGACTTGGCTCTGGTTGTAACTCAATGCCTTCCCGGCGGCCCATAGTCCTTTAATGGGGTCTCTTTATGTGTTCCTTCGCCCGTTCACTCGGCGTGTTCCCAGATTTCTTCCAAGTATCCGCAAAACCACAAGGGGTCTGATGTCCTCTATTTGTTTGCATCATCATAGCTCGTGATCTCGTTCACATCATGGCCTCGCCGTTGCGACTCAGGCCTCGCTCGAACCACTTCTCCTCTGCTCTTGGTTTCCTTGTGCAGCCGAGCCTGCGATTGTCTCTTCGCCCAAAACTTTGCTCGCTGCCATAAACCTATTCAAAACTGTCAGCACATTGACCATGAAATATCTCGTGTCGCATTGTAGAAGCTGATCTGAGATCGAGCTTCCACCTCAAAGTAGCAACAAGTATAACAATGGCATGGGAGATTTTTAGAACTCACAATCCACCGTGGAAAGCCCCCAATCCCCTCATAGCTTCTGCTTGTACACTCGTCATTCGAAGGAGATTCTCGAGGTCTGCTAGATTGGCGGAGAGCTGTGCAAGTTGCGCGTGAAGATGAGACTAGTAAGACATTAGCCACAAGTCTTACAAGTATGCTGCTTTGGTAGCGGGAGGCTTGAGAGGAATAATTACGAGTTGTCGTGGTTTGATACTGCTTGGAGCGGTGGATAGACGCGGGGCATTTGAGGATGGAAGTCGAGAAGACATCGTGATAGTAGTGTGATCGTGAGAGTCTACGGAATCAATTGATTTACATTTGAATTGCTACAGCGTAGACCCAAGAACCACTTATGCGTTGCGGATCGAGAAAGTTGTCGCTTGAGGGGTTTCGACTGTCCAAACGCGATGGAAAGTAAACATCGGTCAGCCCTGTGCACGGACTACTTCCGGGGGACACCCCACCTCCCCTCGTGGAGGACAAAATAATCGCAACACAATATTTTCTTGATTAAGTTGACGAAATATCGTATATTTAGTGGATTAACTTGAAACATTATTACTATTCCGTCAATTGTTTTCAATAAATGAGACTTTTTAAACTCTATTCGAAGTCGACTTATTGTTCAATCCAAGGCTAGCGGGTAGGTGACTGACACCTATTTTGTCCTCCCACTCCCCAAGTCAACATCTGTTCATCGCAATCAACTCAATACACCGGAGTTCTAAAGGAGATGCTTTGGTCCAAGAGCACCATTCTATAGCACGAATTGAACAGATTCGTCTTGATATCGATGAGATGACAGATTTAATGGAAATTAACTCGAACGCGAAGCATCTTCGCAAGGTCGAGATCCCGTTCATAGATGCCGTACCATCATGGCGCCTGCTGTCAGACAGCCCTACGAGGCATTGGGTCCAATAGATTTGTGACTCGAAGCTATATTGCACCCCAAACTTGACTTACTAATCCTCCCAAGACATTCTTACGTCTGGCTAAACTCCAAAGAAACATTCTCGGGATTTGATTTTCCTATACATTGGAGGATACGAATCAGGATTCAAGATTCAGATTCCGAGGAGAAGCGCAGATCCAGTCAACACATATTACAAAGAAAAGCCTCACAAGTTGCAACACCAGCATTCTTGCTTATACAATCCCTCTTAATTTGGAATTGGAACGAAACAAAATATTGATCCAATCATAATACTTTCTGATAAAGTTGAATGATGATTTTGGCGTTTGACGCAGTGACAACTAATCCGCATGAAGCTTCCAGGTCACACAATCGTCACCGAAGACTGCAAGCAAGATGATTACGATCGTCAACCTCGACGTATACGATAACATCATAGTGTTCTTTCAGAACTGACAGAAAAAGTATATATATCACCAGTAAGGTAACGATGTTTTCAATCCCAACCTCATCCACAAGCTCCACTCTCAACCTTACTCAATACAAGCATCGAAACATCGGAAAGAAAAGATTCAAGGTCGACAAAACCAGAAAATGGCACCATACACCAACAACACCGTGGAAGCTGATGGCATTAACATTTTTTACCGTGAAGCGGGTCCGAACGATCCATCAACACCCGTTATCCTTCTCATCCACGGCTTCCCAACTTCATCTCATCAATATCGAAACTTGATTCCAGCTCTAACTGCTGGATCCAACAACAAATACAGAATCATCGCACCAGATCTTCCCGGTTTCGGCTTTACTGAAGTTCCAGAAAGTCGAAAATACAAATACACCTTTGAAAACTTTGCTTTGAGCATCGAAGCACTACTCGACGTGCTCAACGTCAAGAAATACACACTTTACGGCTTCGATTACGGTGCGCCAACCGGCTTTCGTATGGCTCTTCGACGACCAGAGTCGATTCAGGCGATCATCAGCCAGAACGGAAATGCCTACGAGGAAGGTCTCGGCGATTTCTGGAACCCACTTCGCAATTACTGGGCCAGTGGTCTTGAAGAGCATCGCGCAATCATTCGAGATACACTGTTGATATACAAGACCCACAAGATGCAATACACTTTGGGAACACCTGATCTCACCACAATTTCACCGGAAACATATACGCTCGACGACGCTCTCATGCTTCGACCAGGGATCAAGGATATTCAACTTGATATCTTTTACGACTACCAAACCAATTTACCTCTTTATCCCAAGTTCCAGGAGTTCTTCAAGTCGTCCAAGGTACCTATTCTAGCTGCTTGGGGCAAACATGACATTATTTTTGTATCACCGGGAGCTGAGGCTTTCAAGAAAGATTTGGGAGATCAAGTGGAACTTCATCTTTTAGATGCGGGCCATTTTGCAGTGGAAAGTCACACGGATGTGCTAGCAGATCTAATTTTGAAGTTCTTGGAGACGAATGGAATTTGAAAGCCAGGACATCAATTGAAGAATGCTGAGGAATGGAGGATTGTGGGCTGGCGTGGGGAGGTTCCTGTTTGTTTGAATCATTTGTTGTTGGCACTTCGCCACCCTTTAAGTAGTTGATAATTCCCACTTATATACAAAATTTGAGATACCACTCGCTTTAGTCCCGTATTCATATTACGTGATTGATGATCGTACAGCTGACATGTAAGAAAATACAAGCTACTGGTCCAACAACACTCTGAAGGTAGTCATGCTCATCTAGTCAATCCTCATTTAGACTAGTCAGGTAAGATGCCTGCGACTGAATCCTTATTATATTTTACAGAATTCTGGTTTGAATTGCTCCAAGCTATATTACATATTCAAACTCGTTGTTCATAAGCGTAGATGTGTCGCATTCCTGGGCTGACAAAAGTTAGCTAGTTGTAATGTAGCAGCGAAAAGTCAAACACTTGTGTTGCATACCTGACTGGACGCCTCATTGCTGTGAAATAAGCTGTTTTTAGATACTGTGTATTTGATAAGGCTCTTTACGTATACTGATAGAGCAGTGTTGGAAAGTTCTTTAACATTGTTGTAACTGAGGCTGTCCCGTGAGTCTTGCAACATACAAGTGGTGTCGCAGGGATTTATACGAGGGAACAATTTCACCTCGTATCGTATCTTCCTGGCGGAACAACACCACTTGATTTGAATTCATGTCGTCTGTCGTCTACGCCGCCAACAATCCCGCTGGAGGTTCATGCTGCGTATTTCCAATTTCGCTTATTGTTGTGCAGATACCAGGAGCTTCAACTTCGTCAGGACCAACTGAAAGCCTCACTCTGGAGTTAATGAGGAAGAGCAATGTGACTTGTACTATTCTAGAAGTGTCAAGATTGAGTCTCATGAGTAGTGCGCTTTCGAAGTTCTGGTTGAGTTTGTAGCACTTGGAAGTGATGCGTTCTTGTCGAAATCCATCAACTTGGAATTTCTGCGTCAAACTCACGAACTGAAAATGACCTGCAAAAATTGAAGAATTTGTTTTCATTTCAATAGGGTAGTCAAGTTTGTCGAAGAAACCTCGCTAAATAAATGATTACACACCGAGTAGTAAGAGGAAGCGGCGGGTCCGTAAGACGATACTCGTGTATCTGACGATGTCCCAACATGATGACAGGATTATAGGGCTGAGATCTGCTGATTGTCAGCTTTCACCCCAAAATTCCAAATCTGGGGGATCATGATGACTGGTTCATATAGTAAGTATCTTTACTTGCTTGCTAAGAGATGACTACTGACGTGCACACAGTCACCCGTGTAGAACAAGCTTCTAGTGTAAGCACAATAATTCAACATGAAATATGCAAGAATTGCGCGGCTATCTTCTATTTGAAGTAAACCTGTGGAAAACATCAGTCCTACTTCCACATTTAGAGCGGTGTTCGGTCCTCCAGTTGGCACTCAAGAATCGTGAAATCTACAGCGAGACCGAAAGGTCAGCCCATGAAATATACGAGCTTGTGTAACTCCTTTTTGCAAGTTAGAATCCCATTTAGAGCTGGTAGCATATGAAAAAAGCAGGTCATTGCCAGGTGACCCACGATAAAGATTGCTGTGTTAGGGTCAACCATGGAGTCACCGTGTCCTTCATCATTCCTGTTGTATAAAACTCGCAATTCTCATTTCAATTGGTCTAGTGGCACCCTAGATAATGAATAGCTCGTATGAGGTGCGAATCGATTCTAGTGGATTGACTTAAGCGGGTTAGAAAGCCCAACTATAAGGACCTTTAAGCGACGCGAACTAACACAGCCCCCAAAATCTACAACAGCGCATCCTTCTTCCTTTCCCAGAAAACACCACAACCAACCAATATATCACGATAATAACGAAGGACAGCCAAATCACTTGAGTATCTTCTCGGCAGCACGATGGAATGGGGATTATCGTCGACACCCTCTCGCTCCGTATCCAGCACGGCCCGATAGCCAATCATCGCGACATGCGACCTGCTGGAGGTTGCCTCAAGCGCATTGTTTCAGGAGAGGCTCATTGGCTGAGAGTTGCGCAGTCGGCGAACATGTTCAACTGACTTTCTTCCTATCCTTCGGCGAGGACTAGAAAGTATATCGATCCAGCGAAACATGTTTTGGTCATTTTCTGGATTTGCGCAATTCTTGAAAGCTCCTAGGCTTCCTTGAACTCCTACCAGTTAGTAGGTATGATCTCATTGTAACACACTCCCAGAGTGCCGTCAAACACGGTTCTTTCATCTGGTATAAACTCTCCATCTTTAGCCACAAAGAAGTTATTTTCAGATCATCGTTCTTCAGCATCTTTCTCTTCTTTCATCTTAGGCTAGTCCTTTCTTCATCGCTATAATTATCAAACAAACCTTTGCATATAATCCTTTCTGTCGATAAATTAAGCACAAAGACATTCGTTCAAGCATCTTTGTTCTGGAAACAAACCACCTTCTCATCTTGTACAACCTTGATTCTTTACTCATTCCATCTTTGTTCACGATTGAACATTTAAGTCAACAACGAGATTGTTTTCAAAGACTGTTCTGCAAGAGTTCATCTCATCTTATTTAAACGGCGATACCTCCTGGAGAGTTTTTATTCATACAGAACTATCACTATCTTCAAAGATAATCGAACTATTCAAACTTACAACATCACTCGATCAATCATAACATCGACATGCATTTCACATCATTCCTCGCCGCTTTGGCCCTCGGGTCCACTGCATTCGCTCACATGGAGATGTCCGATCCAATGCCGTTCCGAAGCAAGCTCAACAAGAAGCTTGGAGATAAGGTCGACTATTCTATGACCGCGCCACTCGGTGAAGGTAAAGGTCTTTGCAAAGGATACCAGTCTGATATCTCAGATCTCACTGGTGCCGGTGCACCTACGGGAAGCTACAAGGCTGGTGCTCAAGCCAGTCTCACCATTATGGGTGCAGCCGCTCATAACGGAGGGAGTTGTCAAGCATCTCTCTCCTACGACCAAGGAAAGACGTTCAAAGTTATCCACTCATGGGAAGGCAATTGTCCTCTTGCTTCAGGAGGCAAATTCGACTTCACCGTTCCTTCGGATGCTAAGGCTGGCAGTGCCATCCTAGCCTGGACTTGGTTCAATAAGTCAGGAAACCGAGAGATGTACATGAATTGCGCTTCCGTCACCATTGAAGCAGGCTCCGGTGCTGCTCCTGCCGTCGCTTTCGACTCACGACCAGACATCTTCGTCGCCAATCTCGGCACGGACTGCAAAACCGTTGAAGGCAAGAACGTCAAGTTTCCTAACCCGGGCCCAGATGTTACCGGCGCTGGAGACGAGGGTGGTTATACCGGCAGTGCGTGCGGAGGATCTGGCTCAGCACCATCCGGCGGAAACACTCAATCACCAACCACCCCTAATGCACCAGCAGACAGCAAGACTCCACCACCAGTCAACAACGACACGCCCAGCCAGGCACCAGTCACTGGTGGATGCGGCGGCGGGGCCAAGTGTCCTGAGAACACATGCTGCAGCAAGTACGGTTTCTGCGGTACCACTCCTGATCACTGTGGAGAAGGCTGCGATGCATCTGCCGGAAAGTGCGGCAGCTTGAAGCTCATCCGTGGCGGATCTTACTACTAAATCCAACCCGATCAAAGTCTGCTTCTGCAGAAAGGACTAAAACAAGATTCAAGAACCATAAGTAATCTAATTACAACGAGTTGTTGAAGAGGATACCTTTCTTGCACCAATTTTCAAATTACAACAACCGTCTAAGCGATTTCCAATCACTTCTCGACATTTACATATACCCAACTTTTGCATTTTACTTTTTCATTGATGTTCTATTTCTATTCAGTCTTTACATACTCTTATTTCTGGTGGCGGTTTTTTGGGGAGATTTACCGAGTATTACTTTCTTTCAGATTACTTTAGTAGCGTTTCATGTAGCGATTTAGCGGGCATTACTTTCATTCAATTTTCTTTCGTTCTTGTTTTAGACAGGTTATTTTAGACGGAATTATGACTACTTCTTTCTTTCAAACTGATGTTTTTGAACATGTGAGAATGCACTACATAAACATGATTTCTCACAATGCCGGACTCAAGCTTTCCACGTTAGACGTTTTTGTAGAGTATGAAATTGAAATCATGCCAAATTAATTAATCCTGTTTCAAAACCTCCAGAGCCTTTCTACCTGAATTAATCTCCAGTTTTATACTACCACCAGCCATCTCAGAAATGTCATTCTCCTCTGGTATTCCTTCACCATTTAATTCCAGCGGCGACCTGTCGCCCGATAACTCTCTTGCTTCAGCATCTGTCGATTCTGTTCTCATCCCGCATATCTCTTCGTCATCCAAAATAACCTGCTTGGCCCCTATTTCTTCATCTTGTTCTTCTAGACATTCCTTCTCAGTTGTCATCCGGCTTCGCTTTTGCTTCTGACGTCGAGCTTTGAGACAGCGGATCAGCACTATGACGCCGAGAAGTAGCAACGTTGCAGAGATGCCTATTAATATTCCCACCATCAACTCAGCGAATCGTGGAATAGGCAAGCCCGTTTGATTTCTGCTTCGGCCACATCTGCTTGATGGGAAACCGGTTGGAATTGGGCCAGGAAAGCCTGTGAAGGTAGGTCTACTAGACGTACTTGTCTGAGTGACGCTCAATGGAGTGGCTGTAAATATGATGGTAGTCGCGTAGATTTCTTGAGTCGCCATGATTGGCGAAGTTGAAGTGTCGGTCGATTTTATGCTGCGAGGTGCATAATCATGACGATTGATCGATCATGCGACGAGTTCGGTCTTTGCCTTGATGGATTGATTTCCCCTTTATATCATTCGTGGGACTTTTGCAAATCAATTGTTGCTCTGGCAGTCGATTCGTGATATTACTAGGAGCTGGTTGCAGCCGAAGGAGACGAAAAAATCTGTTCGCTATCTAGGAATTCGTGTTAGCATTGGCATTTACTAACGAAACGCTATCTGGTGACTTCTCGAAGGAATCCGCAATTCCTTTATTAGAGATGAAAGTAATTGCATGCACTGACCTGTTTTTGTCAAGTTGTATCTCAAAATCAGGCCAGAAAGAAGCTGAGTGGTCTCTGAAGATGCTAGATTGCATATAATGTATTCAGTACGATCTCTAGGCGATTAGTATCATGATGTTGACTGAAGCGAGTATCTTGTGATCATATTACGCTTACCTGGCGATAGTGTGACTTTTGCTAATGTCGAAAAGAGTGGCGACAAGGTTTTTCGGTAGAATAGATCGTACAACATCAAAAGACGGAGAAAACTGGACCATGCTCACCTATAGCAGCCATTATCTTGTTGCACAAGAGTTTGGAAGTCCCATGGTAGTTCCAACATTGAGACTGTGTTCGAGGTGGTGCCCTGCTGTACCCTTGGCAGAGTTGGTTTGTCGCCCATCTTTACCATACCCATCACAATTCATTTGAGAATCTGGGGTCCTTGCTTCAAACCAGAAAGCCGTGCCGGAAATGTAACAAAACAAATCTCATGTTTGATCATCCCTATTGACACTTTGAATAAACACCGGTACTTCTGTTTCGGTATAGTGTTTCGGTATAGTGTTTCGCTTTCATAATGTCTAATGGTGAAATTTATACCTGAGTGAACAATGTGAGGTTTAAGCTTTTTACGTCCCAATATTCGATTAAGAAATAGTTTTATCTACGAATATCTAAAACTTCTTCTCAAATTACTTCACTAGTTAATTATTGCCACTAGCCATCTCACATATTTCACTAGGATCTAGCGTTCCTCCACTATCTAGTTCCAGCGGTGATGTTTGGCTAGATAACTCTTTTGCTTCAACATGAGCCGGCATTTCAGATGATTCTTCCTTATTAGAACTCAGCTGATGAATAGCTGCTCCGCCACTTTGCTTTTCTAGACATTCTTTCTCGTTTGTATACTGCATTTGTTTTCGTCTTTGTTTTTGGAAGCAAACTCCGATGAGTGCTATGAAAGCTAGAAGACCGATCACAGCACTGCTCCCGATGCCTACTCCTGCTCCTGTGGACAATTTAGGGACTGGTGTCTTGGGCCGGTTTTCCGGAAACTCGGTTGGCTGAGAATTCGGGCTTCTTGTAGAAATGGTCTGAATATTGCTGGAAGCGATCACCGTTGATATAGTTCTAGGGACCGACATTGCATTGGTTGTCAATGTCGATGGAGTTGAAGTGTTGGTCACCGATACGCTGGGAGCCCCAAACTTATACCCATTTATCGGAGAAGCCACAGCGCTTGCGTCTAAACCATTTAAACCAACAGTAGTTGTCAAATTTTGGTCAGGAAAACCAAAGTTGTCCCTTTCTATAAAGGACACAACATGGCCTGGCGGAAATGGCGATGTGCATTCTCGATTGGCGATGGTAGGATTGACATCATTTAAAGACTCCTCAATCTGAGTGAATCGCTTAAGTGAATAACCTCTTGAGCCATTGTTAGTAATTGTTTTACTATACTTGACTGGAAGACATTACGATGGACAGCATTGATAATACGTTGTTTGAGGATTTACTGCGACAGAAGCAGCGGTCGTGTATAAGAATGGGCACTCCATAGGGCCCAGCGAAATGCGTGTCGAACGGAAATCTGCCCCAACTTGCCCCTGCCATGTCCTAACTTCTGGTGCAATACAAGAAAGATTATCAGGCCTAAGGGACAATGCGTATTCAGCTTGTGTCTCTAGATATGTTTGATACAATAGATAGCAAGTCCCTGTACCAGTGACTTCTGCTTTTGATCTTAAGTCGAAGGGTAATACATACTGCAATCCTAGAGCAAAAATCGATGCTGTAAAAGGCTGGGGCTCAGAAGTCGGTTCGGTAAAATCGTACCGAGACATGAAAGCCGTCAAGCATTCAGTAGGCACCGTGTGTATTGTTGTTAATGGAAGCCACGAGGTTACCATTTTGTTGTTCAATTCTACGGTTTGAGTAGGCCCAAACATTTTGAAAGAAATGCGGACAGTCAAAAGCTGGTAAGAAACTGTCGTAGGTAACAGGATTGATGAAAACTTATTAATGTGATCTCCAGATCAAGATCCTTCCAGTTCTCGTGACACTCCAAACATCCAAAATAGACATGAAGTAGTGTAACAGGAATCCTGCACATTCATGAAACTCTTGGCAAATATCTAGTTTGGTGGAGCAACCGTACATAATCTAACGTTTCTGTTCCATCTCCGAAAAATTAGGTCGAGACCTGCATTCAGGCACGCGAATTTGTCTGATAATATCCATTGATACTTATATATCCCACTACGCTCAATTGGGGTTTTGTGTTTCATCTTTCACGATGTTTTGGAGTGGATTTCATAGAGTAGTATTCAAGGCGATCCCTAAGTTGTCTATCTAAACATTTGATCAGGAAACACTTTCACTTGCAAATAATTAGATTCCATTGACTCGGATGACTTCCCTCTCAAACTTTCACCCGCCAGCTCAGATATCCTAACAGACTCTGCTATCTCCCCATCCTCTAATTCTAGCGGCTGGGTCTGACCAGACAATCCCTTACTTCGTCTTCTGCTGACATATTTCCTGCCAAAAGTTTCTCTTTAAATCTACCAGGAAGCTTGGGGGTCCACGTGTCATCAATCTCGACCGGTCCGTATTGGTTCTCTATCATCTCGAAGTTGTTGATCCTAGCTGCAATATCGGCACGTTTTCGCTTTCTGCGCCTCAAAAAGCAAAAAGCAACAACACCAAATATTGCAAAGAGGCCTACAATTGCAAAAACAATAATTACCAGAGTAATAAGTGAGACTCCCCGAGTTGATGTCGTTGGCAATCTCGTAGAAGACGCCTCGTTAGCTACACCAGTGACAGGAGGCTGGTTGGAGGTTGCAGTGGTCCCAGGTTGAATTGCGCTCGTAGGAGTGACCATCATGGTGACAGTCGCCATTAACGACGGATCTTCGCCGCGAGTTGCAAACTTATAACCATTGAGTGGACTCGCGACTACTCGTGCGCCTGACCCAACAGTCGTAGTAACCATTTGTTGTGAAGATAGCCGAGGCCTCATCTCCAAGTAAGAGACAACTTGTGCTGAAGAAAGCAGAGAAGTGCAAGCTCGATTTGAGTTGGTAGACCATACATCGTCGCCAACGTCTTCAATTTGGTTCATTTTCATAATTGAATAACTCCTGAGAAGGTTTTAGCATTGCCCTCGTACATAATGTCTGCAAAATATAGCTCTTACGATGGACAGCATTGGTAAAACGTAGTCTCGCTATTTAATGATATAGAAGCAGCTGTGGTGTATAAAATTGGGCATTCCATGGGACCCAGTGATAGCCTCGATGAATGACCCACACCAGCGCCCATTTGATACCGCCATTGAGTCGCTGCATCGGGAAGACATTTGATCTGCCGGCCACTGAGAATTTTTTTTTTAGCATAACTTTCAAATTAACTGCTGACAAACTCAAAGCGCAATCGAGCATCCAAAGACGTTTCAAAGCTGTTAAAATGGTTGGTAGACTTACTCGTACTCTGTAAGAGACAATTCGAACGCTGAACCCACCCAGGGGAAGAAATCTGGAGCTGCGCTAATAGAATTGGAAAGAGATGTGAACTGGGGTGCGCATTCAGGAGGTGCGGAATACGCTGAAGTTAGCGGGAGCCATTCGGTGACGGTCCCATTACCCTCCTCAGCTGGTCGTGTGGTATTAGACATTTCGTAGAGGATAGAGAAACAGAATCTCGCAGGAAAACACGTCCCAACAAACGGGTGGATTATTCCAGAACAGCCTGCTAAAGTGAAGATTTCTCAGACTGTTCTTAAGGGGGAACCTGAGATATTATGTTCCAACATCTGCAGGATACTGTACCGGCAGTGTAACCTAGCCCCTGATGCACGACACCCTAAAGAGAGTCCAGGATCATTAAAGTTATCTGAATTGATTTATCCTTTTGCCAACTTCCCTGTTTCCATACCATGCCTCGATCCCCTATTTCCCATTCCAGGACTTGGAATGGGACACCATCGTGTCGCAAATCTGACAAAACACCTACTTACAACAGGGTCATGATAACACTTACTCTAAAAGCTCTACCTGCTCATTCCTTTTGTGTAATTACACTGTATTACTTCTTTCACTGAGGTAACATGTTATCATTGAGGACGAACACTAGAATGCCGGCTTCCAATCATGATCAACTTTAGTTGATTCCGAGGGTGTCCCGTCAGTATTTACAACACCCTCGTGGACATAGGACTTTACCTTATTAGACTCCCAAAAGTACACCGAAACAGGAGATTAAACAAGCATACATGTTTGATAGTCACTATCACTGCTGCAGATTGGCGACAAAACCAAAACTGGTACTACCGGTTAAAGTGGTAAGTAGTGGCTTAGTATGTTGGTGTTTCACTTTCCACGATGCGGAGAAGCTGCAGTAAAATACACCACCTGCTGGTAGCGACAATGTGTCTTATCGCCCTAGCATTATCTTGCACAGGATATGCTCAGCGACGCCAGAAACGACGTTTTTTGTGTACACCTAGAGGCTTTCTGATGTATTCTACCGTACATGCGTATGAAATTGAAGAAACATAAACGGTAAACCTACCTCAACATAATATCTAAACGACTAGCCTGAGAATGAAGAGAACAGAATTCTAGCCAACCAAGACGACGGCTAAGCCGAAGCCAATTTTTGATTCGATTAACATTACATCATGACTTTATGTACATATACATACATATACACAACAACTCTGTCGTGAAGACACTTTCCTATCTTACTCCATACCCGCTGTCCAGCTCACATATAACGTTTCGATTCGACATACCTCCACTTTCCAGTTCCAACGGCGGAGTTTGACTTGATAATTCCCTTATTTCGCGTTCAGAGTGCATCTCCGATAGCTGTTTGCTTTGACCGAGTTCATGTGCATTGGGCCCACACGCTTGTTCTAAATTGATATCCCCGTTCAGTCCCTCAATTGGCTCTGCAACTTTCTCGGCGGAAATCACGCTTGCTTTTCTTTTCCTTCGTTTCAGAAGGCAAAAAGCGATGATCGATATGAGTAAGACAACTGCAGTCACCGCAACGCAGCCTATACCGATCGCGGCTGCAGTGGAAAGAGGTTTCGCGTTTTGGGTTCCGGCTGGACTTGACTGTGTAGCAATGGCTACAGAAGAGAAAGAGGCCAGAGTCGGAGCTCCGTTATTTGATGAGGTCGAACCGATTGTCGTAGCGGCTAGGGATGCAAATTTGTAACCTTTGATAGGATACGCTACTAACGCTCCTCCGTTTGTAGCAGTGGTGGTAATCACTCGAGTTGTAACTGTCCCCCCATCTCTCAGAAATTCCGAGTATGAGAATACTTGGAGTGGAGTAAGTAACGAGGAACAATCTGGCTGGAGAGATATTGAGACGCGAGGATTGCCAAAACGAGTTTGTGAGATAGGCGAAAGACCGAAGCTCCTAAACAAAGCGACCTTAGTGGTGACTCTTTTGAAGTTGACACACTAATACGTACGAAGGGCAGCATTGGTAGAATGTAGTATCGGTGTTTATGACGCTAGATGTGGCTATTGTATATCGATCCGGGCACTCCATAGGTCCCAAGGATAATTGCGTCTGGGGATTGTTTATTTGCTGTTCCATCCACGAAGTGACAGGATCTGGAAGGCATGATATATTCCGATCTCTAATAAGTAAGAGGTCAGCAAGTGACTCTGCTCAATCCTGCGATTCATTAGGCAAAGGCAGTAAAACTCGCCTGGTCCCTTTGACGTCCATGCCAAGAGGCAAATAACCCATGAACGAGGAGATGGCACCACCACCTATGTCAGAAATAAAATTTGTCCCGCACTCTGGCGGAGAGGAGAAGGTCGTTGTCATCGCAATCCACGAAGTGACCGTCCCATCTCTCGTTTCCGCTGGTCGTGTAGCCGACGACATCTTGAAAGTGGACAACGACAAACCCGCACGAAGAGCATGGTAGACGAGCGACCGCCACAGCTCCAGGAAGTGCAGATATACTTATGGCACCCATATAGACGCCCAGTGCTGGCAGCAGTTAGCCGCCCGTTAACCGGCCGCCGTTTCACGATTCTCTAAACGGACGCCAAGATCAAGATTGGCGGTTACTTATAAAACGGTCGGCCGTTTACTAGAAGTAGACGGCCATGTTCATATAATCTCCTCCTGTTTACAATAAAGTATAACATAAGGTAAAGTTTGCTATATAGTTAACAAAATAACCTACCGAAGACTGAAATCTTTAAACCAATAGAATCGCTGGGATTATAGTCACCCACCCCACATAGGCAGGCTAAGTTTTGAGACCACCTATATTTATGCCATATTATCGACAAATTTATGCATCGAACCCCGACTTTTACGTTGCTATATAATTATAGAACGGCATCCCTACCGTTTAGCCCCTCTCTCAGTACGTACCGCGCCCTCGGCGCTAAAAGCGACGATGGTCAACAGTCTTGGCGTTGGTCAATGGTTTCAAACACTGTAAACACCTCACAGCCACTACAGAAGCGCAGAGCAGCCACAGACGCAGTATCTGGAACAAATTAGGGACATCGCGCAACTAGCAAAGTTACGAATTATTTAAGATATATTCTCTAGACATACATCAACTTACTTCCGAAAAAGCATCTCAAGACAATCAATCGAGACAACCTCAGCAGTTTGATAACCAATGCCGACCCTCGAAATGTATACCAGTACCACCAGCTGAGCATTGGACATCGTGCCTAAGTATGTTGGTGTTTCGATTCCTGCCATGTTAAGGAGTCCTAGGTTGTGCAACCATCAAATATGGCGGCCTAGAGCTGCATCTTGATGTTCGGTTGATTATGGATAAATAGATCGGCTCTGTCAGGTGTCACAGGGCAGTACAGTCCATTGAAGTCATGGAAGATCGCAGGTATGTTGCTCGACACCTTGATCTCACGGATTAGCACATTGAAAACCAAGAAAGCTGTCGAAGAATGATCGGAATTATGATCCTCCTAACCCAACATCACTCTATCAACAAATAAACTTCTACCTCCATCTACTAAAAAGCACTCGACAAAATTAGGAAACCCACGTAATCCAGTCTATGTCTAAACGCCAATGCATTGCAATTCCCTCCGCCAACAATAACAAAACAAAATACCAGTGCCAAAAAAGCAAACGAAAAGAAATCAGTTCTATAATGCATAATCCAAATGCATGTTTCCTTCTCTATTCTTTTGCACATGATTACATTCCGTCGTTCTTCTACTATAGAAAGATGGAAAGGGTATCGGGTAAACTTTTACGCATCATCATCAGTATCGGGGTATTTTGGAGTGCCCTTTGGAGAGTTGAGCCTGTAACCATGTTAGTATTTGGTAAGATTGAACGAGAAAGATAACATACCACTCAATGTGTCTCAATCGTCTTCTAACCTCCTGATCTTTCAACTCCTTCTTCGTCTTCTTCTTCTTCTTTCGTGCTCTGAAAGACATATCTTGATTATCTTCAGCACCACTGTTAACGGCGCTGTTGACTGCACTGCTTTGAACACTGCTAGCTCGACTAGTGGCCTTGCTACCAGTTCTACTTTGAACGCTGCTGTTGAAGCCACTGTTGGGCTTGCTGTCTTCGAAGCGATCAGCAGATACCGCAAGATGACCCTTGTGGGTGACACGACCATCGGCGACGTGCCATTGTTCAGGGCAGAGAGCGCCGACGAACTCTTCGTTGTGAGAAATCATGACAACTCCTCCCTTGTAATCACGAATAGCAACCGCGAGACCACCTAGAGAATCACGATCCAAGAAATTGGTAGGTTCGTCAAGAACGAGGAGATGAGGATTGTTCCACATAGCACCAGCTAACACAACCTTTACCTTTTGTCCTCCAGAAAGGCCTGAGATCTCGTTGTGGTCTGCAATTTCAGGGTCAAGTCCTAGATCCTCGAAATGCTTCGAGATAACCTTAGGAGAAAGCTCACGGAAACCCAACCCTTCACGAGAAGCCTCGTGATCATCAAACTCCTGGACCAGCTTGTTGAATCCCCACTTGATCAAGCTCTCGCGAGAGATTTGTGTGTTGTACTTGGGTAGCATACCAACCCACTTGACCTCATATTGGAAGGTCTTCTTCCATTTCTGGCGACCCATAATGGCTTCAATCCGTTTTTCGCCAGTTCCGTCTCCGATGTTGATCATTTTATCCATCTGTTCCTGATCCTCTTTTGAAAGAATACGGGTTTGCTTCATATAAACTTCTCTATCGTCACCGTTCGCGTAACGCCACTGAAGATACTGATTTGGTGTTTTCTCGAGATGCATCTCAACGTGCTCAAGGGCATGCTGCTTGATGTATCCAATACGAAGGTTGGGATGCTTCTCAACGGTACCGCTTGTAGGAATGGTTTCACCAGTCAGAAGCTTTATAAGGGTCGATTTCCCGGCTCCGTTGCCACCAATAATGGCAGTTCGAGAAGACAGGGTCAATTGGCAGGTGACATTATGTAGAGAAGGCTTGTTTGATCCAGGGTATGTGTAAGAGCAGTCGTTCATTCTCAAGATAGCACGAGTCTGCGACTTGACACCAGTCAAGATTCCTGGGGGAGGAAATTTGAACTGAACCTGCGAATCAGAAAGTGTGTAGTAACTCTTAGCCTCCGGCTTTTGCTTAACGAACTCGGCCAAGTTTCCTTTGTAACAGGCAAGCTTCTTTCCAGGCTCATAGTGGTAGATATCAGTGCAAACATTATCCAAGAAACTTGAGTCGTGAGAAACGATCAAACTGGTAATATCGGTGTGTGTCTTGAGATAATGCTCCAACCAGGCAATGTTGGCAACATCCAAATGATTGGTAGGTTCATCAAGAAGAAGAACATCAGCCTTCATCAACATTGCACGAGCCAAAGCCAACTTCATTTTCCACCCACCGGAGAGAGAACCGACTTTCTCAGATTGACGACCTCCAGGACCTGAAGTAAACCCGACCTCGGACAGAACCTCAATGATTCTTTTTTGGCCTTGATCTCCAATCTCGGGATCCCTAGAAACAAATTCCAAAATACTGATATCGGCAGCTTCTCCTTGGTTATGTTCAACGAAACAGGTTCTAAGTACGTCTTGGCTTGGGAAACCCTGTAATTGGCCTTTGGCGATAGAGCGCATAAGGGTGGATTTTCCAGCACCGTTTCTGCCACAAAGACCATATCTGTGCCCCTTGAGAAGACGAAGATTGGTGTGGGAAAGTAAAAGCATTCCTCCGTAACCAAGAGAGAAGTCGGCGTTGACAATCTCAATTTCTCCATCATCCTCCTTAACAGGCTGGCCGTATTTACGGTGATCTTCATCAACATAAAACTGCTGAAGCCCATCGCCAGCAGCTTCTGCTCCGTTGAATTCCTTCATGATATGCTTTAGATACGGGGTGACGACGGTGGAGATTCGTTGAATTTGACGGTGGTTGACGTCCTCAGCGACCATGCTGCAGATATAAGGTTTGGCAAGCTTAAACACATCCGCATCCTCACTGAGTCCTCCAGCTTTTTTGATTTGAGCGTCTAAGATCTTTGCAACGTCATCTGCGGAGGTTCTTGCAATTGCGCCATCTGCGAGAACTCCATCATCTTCGCCCATAGCCTTGTGAATGACATCTAGCGCACGTTTGGCTAAGTTTCTAACTTCGGGCAAAGAAGCACGATCCTGAACACCCTTGACACCAGGCTTCAACTTTGGCAAGAAGGTACGAGCCTCAATAGGATCGTGCACCAGTTTTGTCAAGTTCTCAACTACAACAACCGTTTGACGGAGAACCTCCTGGGCTGTGGTAGGGGTATTGAGTGATCGCTCAAGGAGAGGAGTGAGGAGGGCAAGTACAGGCGAGGTGACAATTGACACGAAAGTAGTTTGAGAAAGTGCGTGGATTGCCTTTTGTAGAGTATCGGTAGATGGATTTTGCATCGTCTTGATGAGGAGCGGAATTCGCGGTGCGACATCATCGTTTGAAAGAAGGGCTGTCATCGAGTTCATCGTGATAACGGCTTGCTTTTCGACATCAGACTTCAAATCGTGCATCCCGGCTTCGACAACTGGGATGAGGCCAGCCAACTTGATGCCCATTGCCTCGCGGAGAAGATCCTTGTTGTTGGCGACTTCTTTGGTATCATCGATTTCCATCTTCGCCTGATCTGCCATTTTCTGCAACATCTTGAGTCCACCGACTGTGCCTTGCCATTTTCCGGAGCGCTTTGCAAGGTAAGTGGTGAGCACAGGAAGGAGACCGACGACGAGTGCTTCGGAGCTCAGTCCTTTGAAAAGCTCGTCGAGCCCGTACTGGGCTGCATCTCGAACGACTGCGCCTTTATCCGCGAGTGCGTCGAGAGCGCAAGCAACCATGCCCCCATCTTGCAAGAGGAGGACAACTTCGCTGATTTTTTGTTGAGGAGGAAAACGCTCGAAAAGTGCTCCAAGCAAGTTTTGAGCGCTCTCCCTTTTCAAGCCGCTCTTCTTATCGGCTGCGGCCTTCTTGATCTCTGTCAAGATGCCATATTCTGACAATCCCCGAAAGCCGACGGAATTCAGTAGGAGATCGCAAAGAGTGTATGCGGAAGCGATGGAGGCATCGGAGGAGGGTGCCGTAAAGATAGCGTCGAGAATAGCGGACACCTCTTGTTGGGTTGGCACAGGGCCTTCGCCTTTAGCAATCATGGTAGGCATTGTGGGAGGTGAAACTGGGTGTGGCATTCTTGAGGGTCGAACACCCTATGAAGAAGAGATGGGGTGTGTCGCTAATGCTGTGTACTTCGTTTTATCGAGTTCGAGAGTGATTTGTGTTTTCTAGCCGTGCTGAGATTTTTTTTTCGTTACGGGAACGGTGTTCTTTGGAGGGAAATGTGGCCGCCGAGGGGTTAATCGCAACGTTCTGAGAACTTTTGGAGAGTGGAGATTGTTGAAATTGAAAATAGATCTGACCGAGCAGATACCTATTCAGAAATGAAAGATCAGAGACGATATATCTCAGCCGCGAGTGGCAGGAGATTGGGGTAGAGAGAAAGAGGACGGATTCGTGGGATGGAGGGGAGGGAGAAGGAGTGGACAGCGCTGATTATTTTTTTATCGAGATTTGCTGATTGCGCGCTTGTCAGTCAGCGCGATTTAATCTGCCCTTGATACGGGCTAGTTTGCCCCACCATCTCCGGCTCAAGTGCAAGAGGGACTATTAAGCCCCGCCGACGGGTAGTAGCACGTGATGGAATTTGACGGAGCGGATAATTATCTATCCGACTCGACTTGCCGAATTCCCGAATTGCACAAGCAGAAAGAATTTTGAGGTGAGTTGACGCGATTTGATACGATGGAAACGGTAAGGAGTAGGTGAGTAACCGTTTTCCAGATTTCCCGCGCTCAATCATGTGCATTTTTCTCCTTGAATCTTATGAAGTCTCTATTGAAGACAACTGCTCAATGATCTAGCGGCGTACATATATATTTTGCGATTACGACACAACGGTCAATAACAGGTTGGAGATCTCTTAACAACAACAATGACTACAGTTCCAATCCTGGACTCACCATCCTCCTCAGGATCAGATACTCTTCCAACCAACGAAAACAATCCTAATGGTTCATCAACGAAACCTTCGACCTTTCGATCTGCTCTGAACCATCTCAAGACAGACATCACGTTGAGCCACGCCGATATCCCCATCATCGCATGCTGCTTCGTTTCTGGACTATGTGATTCATCGGCTTACAACGCCTGGGGATGTTTTGTATCCATGCAAACCGGTACGGTGTAGATCTTTCAGAACGCAATTAAACACAATTATTAATCCTTCATACAGGTAATACTATATTCCTCGCCCTCGGTGCATCAGGTCAACCTATAACTCGTCCCTATGGCTGGGTGAAATCTCTCGTCTCAATCTCCTTATTCTTATTTGGATGTTTCGCATTCGCCAACACGCGATACATCAAGCCCAAAGCGCGCGGGACTCTGGCCGTCTCATTCTTCCTGCAAAGCGCATGCATCATAGTCGCGGCTGCGCTTGTGCAATCTAACGTTGTACCTTCACCCAAGGGTGTCGTGGTCATAAATGGCTCAGATATCGACTTCTTAGAACTTCTTCCTCTGGCGTTTCTAGCGTTTCAATCAGGCGGTCAAATCGTAACATCCCGGCTTCTTGGATTCAACGAAGTCCCTACAACTGTTCTGACGAGCGTGTATTGCGATCTCGCTAGTGATCCAAAATTGCTCGCGCGAGATAACGTAAAGCGAAATCGAAGATTCGCTGCGGTTGTCTGTATACTAGTTGGGGGCATCGCAGGTGGTTGGATCAGTCGAAGTGCCGCTGGCTTGCAAACAAATCTATGGATTGCTGCAGGTATCAAGATGGCTATTTCGCTTGGTTGGTCAGTGTGGAAGCCGAAAGGAGAACAACTGTGAATACACGAAACCGGAAACAAAGGACTCGCAGAAGAAGCATTTTATAATAATAAAACATCTAGACAATAGAGGAGTCACATAATACTAATACAATGGTCACATAATAAAGAGCCAAAAACTTCTGGTTGCTATCGCAAACCCAAGCTAAAACAAGCGATTCTGAAATTATGTATTCTGCTCCCATCCACCACTCAAAACTTCTCTGTGCTCTTCTCCTCAACCATCCCCTTTTCTCGTCAGATACTTTCCTTCCTGCTTCTTCTTCCGTCCCCTTCCAGCCCTGCCTTTCTTCCTCTCCCTCACATTTGTCCTCTTCTCGCTCTTACCTTTATTCACCCTCACCCCTTTCCTGCCCCCACTAATCGTCTTCCACTCAAATTCCTCCCCATCATCCAACCTCAACCGCTCTATCCTCTCTCCAGTACCCTCACCCCCCATCTTGCTTCGTCTAGGCGAAGGCGGTGCACATGGCCCAATATGAGTTTTATTCACATCATACTGAATTTCTCGGAATATCACTTGGATCTCCAGGGAAGAAGTCGGTTCGAGGTGTAGGGAGGAGGATTCAGGTGTGGGTTCTTAGGGTAACATAGGTGCGTAAGGTGAGATGAGAGGATATAAAGGAAGGGGGCTAGGTTTGGAAGGCGGAAGAATTTTGGTTGATGGCGGAGGTGAGGTAGGATGTGAAGTTATCAGGGTCTTGGACGGGGCTGTCGATGCTCATGACTTACCTTCACCTGATGGGAAGTGCGGCACTTTCTTATACGTCGTTTCCGCACATTCTCTACTTAAATACTACATTTTTATACTCAGCTGTAGTATTGCCATTGATTTACATTACCTTAACGATCCAACTTATTCCCGAGAAGAAGTAAATACAACCCTGCTATTATAAATCGGCCAATAGACCTCGGGATCAGATGTCTTTTCGTTCAAGATCTTTTGGCTTACGTGGAAATTGAATCCCTCCTCACATGGGCTTTGTTCTGATGTGGAGTCTTAGAGGTAGTACAATCTACTTACTACTGCTTATGTGGGAACCAATTACTAGGGAATCATGACAGTCACAGTCTGTGTTTCTAATTGCAAAATTAAAGATAAGCTTTGTTCGAAGTATAGTCCAAACCAAGAATTCTCTTTGTTCTACATCCCAGAGTGATAATTTCGCATGGATTGCCAAGCACTGAAGCAGCACCACAAAGGCTTACCACTGACATAGTTTTCAAGTATCAAGTGGGTGGAAAGGCAAGCGATCAGGAAGTTCGGCGGAAACCTTGTTCGTTATGACTTAACATCCACTGGAATCTAGTTATTTAGCCTATGTAATCTTAATTCTTCAGACGCAGTGAATTAAAGGTGGATTCACTTAAAATTGCGAGTGAAAGAATAAGGTACACGAGTCGTATAGCAAAACAAACCATCACCCCATCAGAACAAGCCTCTCACTCTCCTATAGATAAAATTACCCTCTTAATAACCAGCCCTCCTTCCACTCCTTCTCTTCACACAAGGAACATCCACACTTTCGACCCAGAATCCCAAGCAAACCAAAACCAAAAGCAACAATGTGTAAAGTCTTCTTCCCACAATACACAGGCTGTCCCAGCCACCACACGCACAAAGACGAAGTAATCCTCTGCTTCTGCGATAAACGCGGTTGCCCTGGCGTCACCAAACTCTTCGTTCCACTGACAGACCATTGCGAGATTTGTCTCGTGAAATTTAAAACTCCAGGCGCTCCAAACATAACGAATCTATTGGAGCCCATGTTTTCGGGACGCCGACAGACTTTCCAGGATCTCACACCTAGCATGCGAAAAGCATGTCAGGATATCATGGCAATTGCTCCGCAACCGCATAATGGCTCTGTGACGAATTTTCTACTACGAGATAAGAAGACAGGTGCGGCACATACTTTCAATGTTTTCACACCTTGGATAGACACGATTTCGGACTCCGACTTCAAATTCCTACATGAATTAAAGGAGGCATTATCGTTGTATTATCTAGAGGCGATGAAATGTCCAAGTGTATTCAGGCCTCATTAGAAGATTTGGTTCCTGCACATCCGCCAGACATATGTCTTAGCACTCGCTGGATTCCTCAATGGTGTGAGAGTGAACGGATTGAAACATGAGCATATTCAAGATCCTCCAGCAAGGGTTCGAGAGGAGCGCAACAGTGTACTGCTTGCTCGACTTGCTCGTACCGTACCAGAAGTAACGGTAGGGGACGAGCTAGAAGATCCGAATTGCACGATCTGTCGCGAGCCTCTTGGAAAGCCTGAGCCGGTGGTCAAATTACCGTGTGGCCACCTGATAGGAAAACACTGTCTAAATGAGTGGATCCGGAAATGGGATCGTGACAGCGCATTGAGAGTTTGTACGCTCTGTAATGAAGGAGTTGGCTTGACTGAGTTAGGCGACGAGCCCGTAGGCGACACGCTTGCTGGTTTTGAGCCTGCACTACCAGGAACCGAACCTGACAGCTGGCAATTTAAGAAAATGATCGAAAAGGCAGTTGAGGAGGCTTGTAAAAGGGACGTCGAGCCCGTGCCGGGTCCTTGGTGGATGACAGCGTTGAAAAGTGCCGTCTCGTGAGTTTGCTCTCGCTAGACTTCGCGTTGCTAGCCGGCAAGTGAAAATGATTTCGAGGATATCCAAGGACGATGCCTCACATGAACAACACTTATAGCTCATCAGCGAAAACAAAACCCCCACATAGCTCTTTTTTGCATCCGGATTCCGAACCTCCTTGCTCCTGCGATCACTCGTTCGTAGACCCAATAATGTAAACACCTAAATCAAACAAAACAATACCTAAATAACCAAGAAGAAGTACCCAAATGTTCCAGCAAATACAAAATATCCCACACGCTCAGCAGCTTCTCAAGTGAACTTGAATTAAAGCATGAATATTATAACGATCTAGAGCCGTGACAAAATAAACCAGTAAATGAACCAACGCGCTCAAACTCATCTTATGGCTGATATATCTAGGCACAATCAAACTCAACTAGCAGAACGATTATTTAGTAGCGTCAGGATTTTTCTGCCTTTGCTAGAGCCACCTTCCTTTCTTTCTCGGCCTTTTCTTTCCTCTCACTATATCTATCTGCAAATAGCTCTTCTTTTCCTCTCATCACCAAAGTGAACTTGACAAATTCTTCCATGCAATCAACTAATCGATCTCGGTTACCACTAGGTAACAGTCTCTTATCACCACTGCCATCGCCACCCTCATCCTCAAATGCCTTCCAAGCGAGGGGCAGACTCGACTGGTTTGGAATGACAAACATCCTCATCCACCTTCCGAGGATTCTCAGAGTATTGACGGCATTGAAACTTTGGCTTCCGCCGTTCACTTGAATGATGGATAATGTTCGACCCTGTGTGGGACGGACAGAGCCAGTAGCAAGTGGTATCCAGTCTATCTGATTTTTGAACACGGCTGTCAAGTTTCCATGCTGTTCGGGAGAACACCAAATATGACCATCAGACCACAGGGACAACGCGCGAAGTTCTTGGACTGCGGGATGCGTGTCTGGCACGGAGTCGCGTATAGGAAGGGAGGAGGGGTTGAAGACTCGGACGTCGCAACCAAGACGATGAAGGATTCGAGATGCTTCGTAGGCCATCAGCTTGGAATATGATCTATCCATGGCATTAGCAGTTGGTCGATCAGGATTAGTGGCGAAAGAACCTCTTCCTCAAACTGCCATAGAGAACCAAGACTTTCAATCGTGCTTGGTTCTGCGCCAGACTATCTATGACCATTGAAGCAACGGTATCGAGTTCTAATTCGGAAATCCAATCCGAGTCCTCGACCTCTGGGCCCAATAAGAACGGCCTGTATTTGGATCTGATGTCTGCATCATCGTCTGCTTGCGACAGCGCGAGGGGCTGAATGCGACAGGATGTTCCGAGGCCTCTCTGTGCAGTAACAGAGCTCATTCGAACGGCGATTCGGTTGAAATTTAATGGATTTGTAACCCGGCAGAGCAAAGACTTCATGGGGGGAGTTCGCAGAGTCGGTGGTAATATGGAATGAAGGAAAACATAGGCGCCATGATAACGAGCAGACGTCTATATAGATAGCAAGACATTGGGATGCTCGAGGTGAAATAAAAGTGGTACCTAACGTTGTCACTCGTGATTATTGGTTGGCTAGCTTGAATTGAGCTCAAAATTGTGCACAAGCTGTTATGAAATTTATGCAAGCATTAGACCGAGGCTGATATTCCCCGAGCATCGTTCGCTTGAGATTAAACAACTTTTCGAGCGTCAATCATTCTCTTTAATTTCGAAGGACGCTAGCCATTGTAATTGTACGAAACATTGGAACCGATCAAGGTCCTATTAGTTGTCTATGCGCTGAGCCCACCAATTTCTGTATTCGAAGCATTTTAGGTCATCATTCGGAGCTATACAGGATTCCCGAACAATACCATGAGTTTACAATTACCCCTACGAGGATCCTCCGCTTTGCGGTGTTCGAGGAAAGCTACAGCTATATCACTTGTGTGCTCTCATCCTGCCAAATGTATAGCACGACAATGGCAAACCCGATGTCAAACGCGACAGTATTCAACACCCCCACCACCAAAAACATATTTTCAACCCGGTGATTCTGGAGCTCCAGATCCCAAGTACTTCAAACCAGTCGAATCACAATCTACACCTTCTTCCACTCCTCCCACAACATACTTTCAACCAGTCAACTCACAATCCCCACAGGACACAAACCCTCCCGATGCCGCACCCCGAGCAAAACGGTCTCTCCGGCCCTACATCTACTCAGCACTCTTCCTCGCCATAGGTCTCACAATCGGTGGAGTAGCAGATCGAACCCTACATCCACCGCCGCCTCTAGAACCGGGCAGTAAAGCAGATATAATGAGATCAAACGCCATATACAAGCTCGCAGAAAGACTGCCAATCGTGCAATCCCTATCCTCGGATCCTGAATGGACATCTCAAGACGCCTACGCAGACGTCCCCGAAGAAGCTAGAAAAGTCCGGTTTACAGGAGGAGCATTAGGAGGGTCGCGCGGCCTCGGCGGATTCAGACGATCATTCTATCACAAAACTTCTGGGGAAGCAATCACAGTCGTTCATTTCGGCGACGGACTCTGGGGGTTCCCCAAAATCACACACGGAGGTCTGATAGCAACGGTCATGGACGAGGTGTTAGGATTGTGTGCTATTAGGCAGTTTCCATCGAAAACAGGAGTAACTGCGAATTTAGAGCTGAATTACCTGGCACCTGCTATGGTAGGGCATTTTTATATTATAAGAGCGATACCAGTCGCGAAGGGAATGACGGAGAGGAAGTGCTTTGTGACGGGCACAGTGGAAACGGTTACAGGGAGGATTTTGGTGGAAGCTAAGGGCTTGTTTGTCGTGCCGAAGGGGTATGAGTTGAAGGCTATAACTACATAAATTACATAAACCAATAAATTCAATTGCTCGAAAGTCAAATGGATTCAGCAAGCCACGCACTACCAAGCCGCGCGTTACCTACCCATAATCCATTCAATCCCAGTTATTTCCCAACAGATAAGATCTCTAACACTCTCGAATCTATTGTCTTATTGGCACATCTGCAGCAGCGGATATCGGCTAAACCAATCTCACTCCACCAACTCCGTAGCTCGTCAACATTAATGAGTCAATAACACGTTTTGTTATTTACCTAGTGAAAATGGAAGTTTCGCACTGTTTAAGAGATGTTGATGGAGGTTGCGGAGTTCGGATGAGGAGGGGATGGGGGTTGGAGGGGTAGAAGAGATAGAAAATCGCGAAGGTATAAAGAGGGTGTGGTCTGACACTGAATGAAATTACCAACATCAAACTTACGTCGCTATCATTAACAGTACCTTTCTCACTACTCACCAAAACCCTTACTTACTCACCATCTCAATCTATCCCCTCTCACTTCTCCTCTCACACAGTCACAATGCCAAGCTCCCTCATCCCCAACGCGGCCTACAACAAATTCAACGAAGTAGCAGACTACATCACCGACTCCATCATTCCCCAAGAAGAATACCTTACCTCCACGCTCCGCCACAATGAACAAGCCGGGTTGGATACCATCGACGTAGCGCCATGTGATGGGAAATTCCTGTATTTGTTGGTGAAGATGAATAAGGTGAAGAGGATTTTGGAGGTTGGGACGTTGGGAGGATATAGTGCTATTGTGAGTATGATGTGAATTTCTTTGGTGTGGTGATGGTGGTGGGGGTGAGGGTGGAGTGGAAGGGTGACGAGCTGCTGTGATGGGATGAGAGGTGAGAGGCTGGGTTTGAATTCCCCAAGAAAGATGAGGAAATGATTTTTGAATTGTGACTGAAGGCAATTGAGGAGGTTGAGATGTGACGTTTCTTTTTCCTTCGGTGTTGTGGGGTTGATCTGATGTTGACGAAAGAGGATGTCTGTGCGATATCTCGGAGTTTTGATGGTTTTTCTCTTGGTGGCTGGCGGCATGTGAGAAACAACGTTTTGATCAGGCGAACCTTGATTTGTTTGCTCGGAGGAGAGGTTGAATAGGAAATGCTCTGTTGAATTTGCTCACCGAACCTGAAGAAACAAGAAGCTGACTTATCTATAGTGGATGGCGAAAGCACTTCCTGAGGACGGAAAGATCATCACTTGTGAACTTGAGTCGGAAAGCGCTGAGATAGCAAGAGAAAACATCAGGAAAGCCGGCTTTGAAAACAAAATTGAAGTCAAAGTCGGCGCTGCGAAAGATACATTGACGAAAATGAGCGAGGCAGGAAAGGTGGAACCATTCGACATGGTTTTCATTGACGCTGATAAAGAGAATAATTGGACTTACTACAAATGGGCTCTCGATCATGCCAGCCACGTGGGAACTGTCTTGGTAGTCGATAATGTGGTTAGAAGAGGTCGATTGGTAGATGCTGATTCAACAGAACCGTCGATAATCGGTACCAGGAAGTTATTTGCGGAATTGAAGAGAGAAAAGAGGGTCGAGTGTACGGCTCTTCAAACAGTTGGAGCCAAGGGCTGGGACGGGCTTATGATTTCGATGGTGATTGAATAGGTGATGGAGACGAGGATCTTTCTGTCACGGTTGTCGTTGATCCGATGCTCGAAGCTCGAGACTCGAGGTTGTGGTCAATAACAGCAATTGACTGAGCCGCACGCTCCCATGACTTGTAAGTCCAGATTCAACCTGGTCTCCGACGTGTTTCTATTTCGGAATTGTTAGCTTTCAAGCCTCTTCTTTGATATCAACCGCCTGACGTTCTGGGGTGGAATACAAAACATCATCATGACTTCAATCTTACAAAAAGCAACCATGCAACCACGATCAAAATCTGTGACATATCATGCCCTATCGTTTATCTTGTGGGGGAGGTTGAATGTTTGAAGGAAAGAGATGCAGGGGCGACCTCCTCCCAACCTCCACAGTTGCATTTTCCTCGCGCGTCGTCCCAAAACGCGATTCTCCCAAAATAAGCGAGTCCACTCACTAGCGTCTATATTATGGGGCCCCTGACATTGTGCCCAGCATCCGATTCTTCACAGGCAAGACTTCCGTGATCTGCAACAACAACACCTCCTAATGCCAGTGGTGATCATCTTGGGCGTCCATTTTGAGGGTGTCAGAGATTATGTGGTGGCCAATCATGATAAGAACCATGTTTTGGGAATTAATGCGGCACCGGTTAAATTTGCTGGATTTCAAGGGACCTGAAAATGTTACTCCAAACGAGCAGAAGGATGGCTTCCTGTGTCCTATACATATACACGTCAAGAACTACCTGACGTCCTGGAGTTGAGCTTGGGAGTACGACACATGTCTTCAATTTTGCTTCTCCTTTTATTTTGCTTTTGAATGCGGTTGTTCATAGATTCGAGACTCGATGAGGGATGAGTCGCGTCGACGGCTTTCGATGGCTGTCGTTTTCCATCGGCCTCAATCCCTTCGTCTATGGTTCTCATCAAGGAGCTTACGGAAGAGAAGCTTGGGCAAGAAGAAAGATGGCCATATTTCATCGTTGAGTCTCGACCAATTGTTGAAGACCAAGGTTGCCATTCGAGCGACCGTGGTGCCTGCAATGGAAGGCTGGCGAGATAATACCGATTATTATGATGAGAAAGGCGATGTGGTTTCTCATGAAGCTCCAGCACCTCTGTCACACCTCGGGTTTGTTTTCCAAACCTCCGTGTCGGCGATTGGGCTGACCAGAATACAGGACGCCCTGTGGAGACTTCATTATTAGCCAAACGCAGAGGAGAAAACTTTCCACCGGGACGATTCAAGTAGTGCGGAGGCCGACTTGCAATCAGTGTCCTCACCAGGGTCGACCATGCTCCTTTCAGCAATATAATGTCTCGCGACCACGACCAAAAGGTCCAATTCCTCCAAGGCGTTCGTCGTCACTTCCTAAGGACTCCGGTGTGATTGAAACTATATCCAATCCATCGGCTCCCTTGACTACCTTTTATCTTGGTCAGCAAGATGGCTACTTCTTTGAGTATATGCTCACTGGCTCTCTTAATAAGCTAGAATTATTTTCGTCCACAAACTTATGGCCAATGGTGCTCGATGGCTTCCAAAACGAGCCCTGTGTTCGCCATATTATGCTCGGAACTGCCATGATTCATCGGTCTCGATCTGACCCAAACATGTCGCGGAACCTGGAGACCCAGCGCTTAGCATCTCGCCATTACAGCAACGCAGTAAGGCTACTCAGCAATCTCTTGTCGCCAGCAAGAAGCAATGCTGGCGGTGAAGCCGGGGAGGTTGTTCTTCTCACAACATTTCTCCTTGCCGTATTCGAGCTTTTACGACGGAAGGACGATCGCGCAGCATGGTGGATGCAGAGCGGATTGAAGTTGCTTACACCTACGTCCGATCCGATTAGAAACCAAAAGGTTGATCTCGACAGAAGTAACGCCCAACTGACTTTCGGCTACAAATTGATGGATATCAATCTGAAGATCAAGGGAATGAAAACGCTGAAGAGGCAGGGAAGGAACCAAGGCGGCCAACGCGTCGCTGGATTGAGAAAGAGCGAGTCATTTCGGAGCGATCTAACAGTGCTATAGCTACTCACAGGTTTGTGAAGTAGAATGTCTTTTTGGGTTCGAGACATTCTGAGATGCCGTATTGGCATGGGGGGCAGGTGATTGCGATGACGATTCCTCAGAGCAATTGACGAAATATCGATATTTCGTCAACTGCTTTGAGTCTTCCAACAAAACCTTGCGCTGCTACCACACATGTGCGAGGCTGTTTCTTTGGAGTTCTGGTATGAAAATGCTTTGGATGGTCTGTATTTACTGCTCTTTATCACTACTCAAAATACAGAATAAAGTGTCTAAACTTTTAAGAGAATTGACACATTTCAAACGCACTTGGGATCAATCACGAATAATCTTCGCATCATATGACGTTGTGCGGGTTGATTTTACCAACATGAGTGAGAAATTATCGCACTGACGGGCTTCTGCTGTTACCGTCCATCAGATAACTAAGGACGCCACGACTAATGTAATCGACGGAATGCGGTAGTTGCTCAAAAGAGTTGACGAAATATCTCATATTTCGTCTATCGTTCTTGGTAAATAGCAAAAACTCAAATTTTTTTAGAATTTCTTAGGGTAGGAGCGCTTTTGACGCTCAGCTTTGATAGTTTGGCAGGGTAGTACAAAAATACGCCTATCCATTAGGTACGAGGAGGAGAGTCAGGTGACATCTAACCGAACGACTATAATAGACTATCTTCAGTCTTTCGCGACCTTTTGTTTCTACCTTCTCGGCAAACTCAAATTCATGGCTCCTCATGTAATTACTCCTCAAAGGGACGCCCACACCCATACAATCATACTCCTTCACGGCCGCGATAGTATCGCCTCAGAGTTTGCATCAGAGTTCTTCGAGAGCCAGGCATCAGACGATCGCACGTTACTCGAAATATTTCCGACTACAAGATGGGTTTTCCCGGTTGCGAACATGATCAATTCGGCGCGCTTTGAAACGCCAATGTCGCAGTGGTTTGATCTGTGGTCGGTGGAAAATCCTCAAGAAAAGAATGAGATTCAAATTGACGGGTTAAGAGAAAGCGCTAGGGAGATCTTGGAGGTTATTCAGACTGAGAGTGCATTGGTCTCACCTGATCGCATTATACTTGGTGGGATCAGTCAGGGATGCGCTACTGCAATACATGCTTTACTTCACGGGGGAATACGTCTTGGTGGATTTATCGGACTCAACAGTTGGCTTCCATTCGAGCCAGATACGACAACAACTTCAGGGGATACCAAGGCGTGGACTATGGTTGGGGACAAACTACAGTACAGCCAAAAGTTACTCGACATACCACTTGGTTCACACCAACATTCATCAGCTGCACTCGAAACTCCGGTCTTTTTGTCACACTCCCAGGATGACGAAGTTGTTCCCATCGCGAATGGGATGAGATTATCAAACACCTTGGAAAGCATAGGGATGAAAGTTGAGTGGAGAGAGTATGTTGATGGAGGGCACTGGGTTAATGAACCTCAAGGTGTGGACGATATTGTAGCATTCATCAATTCAACACGTTGATAGTGGAGAGATATAGAGGACTGGAGTAGGGCTGTGGGCATGATATGGCAATTTATTAATGTCTTTGCGAGGAGTTATGGATTTCGAAAGGGCTGGTGTTTGATGTATTAATACCATTGTGTATTTTAATTGAGGTTGGATTAGTGGAATGCAACTGTATGAAAAATCTAGGATACCTAATTTGGGGCTCCAGAATGAAGAAATTCTCTTTCTTCCAGACTCATTTTCCAAAGATCGGTTTAATTAAGACTCTCAGAATCCAAATCCGCTAAACTTATCCCTTCTGTCCTTTCTTCTTATTTTTACCAGAAACACTCCCACTCACAATATCCTCTCTCTGTTTCTCCCCACCAAGACCAGTCCTCCTCAACCTACTCAAAAACTTCTCATCCCTCAAATCCTCCTTCGCAATCCCAAAAACAGCCCGATAAATTGGTCCCATATCATGCGGTCCACACGGTCGCTCATCACCACTTGCTCTGCGCTTCTCAAAGAAATTCTGCAGACAAGATTTGATCGCGGTTTCGATTGTCATCATCTCAGATGAATCTATCTCCTTGCTACTTTCATTAGGATGATCCTCGTAAATGGACTCGAATTCTGGGGTCTCGTCCAGCGATGGAGGTGGAATTAATGTGTTTTTTATTAGCATCGCTTCTTCGGGCGTAAAGTATGGGCTGCTGATGTAGAGCTCGTCGGTTGTGGATAAGGTGCGTGCTTTAGCGGCACGGTCGGTGGTGATGTTACAGAGATCGTGGAGTAAGACTTATCTGCTACTATTAATTTATGTGCTGATAAGATGAAAAGGGTAGTTACCTTGTACCAGATCACTGGATTAGCTTTTAGATTCGATAGAGTTGACGTGGTGGTGCTAGATTGCTGCATTTTCGTGTCAGTAGGCATCTTGCTTTTGGTCATCTTGATGATACTGTCCTATGTAGTGATCTTTGTACAAGAATGTAGAGGAATTATTTTTGAGACGATGGATAGAAACAAATCATCTGGTTAAGATATGGCGCATGTGCTGCCGGATTTGATTTAGTGAGCCTAAAAAAATCCTTAGTTTGTCACTAAGCATTAGGGGTTGTCAAGAATGTGTATTGTTATCTCCATGGTATATGGCTAAAGAAGTTGCTAGGCTCACGGTCGATAAAAGAATGAGCAGTTGAAACACTCTTGTAGTCGGTGAATGAGGTACACATAATAGGGTATATTTCACCAATTGTATTTGGGAAATGGGGAGTGTGTTTTTTTGTAAGAGAAATTTTCAATTTCTTTTTAAATAAAACTCCCTTTTGTTCAAATAAGCTAAAGGACAAAATACTCTTATTTACTCTTAATCGAATGCACAATAAGAGACTGTCTCACTATATTTTGTGTGTATGAGATGTGGTTGGATGAAGCTGGTGATTTTAAAAGATAATCCCTGCAGTTCCTAGTGCGGACCGCACGGTTGGGCTTGATTTGGACGTCCTCGAACCCGTGGTCCTCTTGCGACAACAAACACATAGATTTATTCTCAAGCTCAGAAACATCCAGAAATAATTATCTTCAATATTTTCAACACATCAAAGACGGTTCGAACAAGACCAGATTCAATAAACAATAAGCGCTAATGCATTCGACGTCACCGCCGCCCAAAATCCATAGATAACGAACCTGACTCTTGCACGCATTCCCGAGCTCCAAACCTTGGGGATCCCAAACCCCACCTTTCCACGATACCAAGATTTCTGGAATACCAAGACATCCAAGCTCGTGTCTTATCTACAGCTTCACAGCCAGTGACAATGCGGCTGCAAAGCTGCTGCCCGATCGGTGGGGAAGATATCCACGTTCCTGCCTCTAGTGGGGTACCCGGAGAAGCTTTTTGGTTCCTGGATTCTCATAAGTGGGTGTTTTCTTGACATTGATTGATCAGAATAAGCCTCAAATATGTACTCTTGTCACTGATAAGTATCCCGGTGTTGACAAAAAGAAAATGTCAGCCCGGGCAGTCCGGTGAAGAGTGGTGTTTTATGGCTCTAGTATCATGTGAGGAATTGGTATAAAACGAGCAAAGAATCCCGCAATGAGTTTCTTAGGCGTGTCGTTTTGAGTTGAGTTACCAGGTCTCTTTGCTGTTTCAGTTATTCCTGCTTCAAGATGTTTTCTTCAACGGCTGTGCTCCTTACTCTCATGGCATTGGGATATGCCTCGCCAATTGTGTACCGTCAAGAGGCAAGCCCATTTGTCTTTACCAATTCAAATGGCCTCAATTTCACTCAAATGAATACGACACTTCCCAATGTGACCATTTTTGCAACAGGTCAGCGAGTCCTTCTTCAAATCAAAACTCTTCTAACCCAGACACAGGCGGTACAATTGCAGGTTCAAGCTCCAGTAATACCGCAACAACAGGCTACACAGCCGGAGCCCTGGGTATCCTCACTCTCCTCGACGCCGTCCCAGAAGTCTTGAATATCTCAAACGTCGCCGGTGTTCAAATCTCCAACGTCGGAAGCCCAGATGTCACTTCCTCAATCCTCGTCCAAATCGCCCACCAAATCAACAACGTCGTTTGCAACGACCCAACCATGGCTGGAGCAGTAGTCACTCACGGCACCGACACCCTCGAAGAAACAGCTTTCTTCCTCGACGCCACGGTAAACTGCGAGAAACCGGTAATCATCGTCGGAGCAATGAGACCCGCAACCGCCATCTCAGCCGACGGACCCTTTAACCTCCTCGAAGCCGTTTCCGTGGCCATCAACCCGGCAGCGAGAAACCGCGGTGCAATGGTAGTCATGAACGATCGTATCGTCAGTGCTTACTACGTGACCAAAACCAATGCCAACACCATGGACACTTTCAAAGCGTACGAGCAAGGAAACCTCGGAACTCTCATCTCCAATACCCCTTATTTCTTCTACCCCCCGGTAACACCCACCGGCAAAGCCGCCTACGATATCAGAAACGTAACAGCAATTCCCCGCGTAGATATCTTGATGTCCTATCAAGACATGTCCAACGACACCCTCTACTCCGCCGTCTCTTCCGGCGCAAAAGGCATAGTCGTACGTTCCCGCCTTCTCTCGTCCTCCCCCCTTCCCCTCCCAACTAACACCCCCCACAGATCGCAGGATCCGGCGCCGGCAGCACGTCCTCGAACTTCAGTCTCGCCATGCAAGACGTGATCACCATGCACGGGATCCCCATCATCGACTCCACACGCGTGATGAGCGGCGAGGTCTCCAACAGCGGCTTTGATCCCGAGGACCCTAGTCCGATTTCTAGTGGGTTCTTGAACCCGTATAAATCTAGGGTGCTATTGGGGATATTGCTTGCGCAGATGAGGAATGTGACGGAGATTGCGGGGGCGTTTAATGGGAGTGCTACGTTTGTTGGGTAGTGGGGTTTTTATGATGTTTATGATAATGAGTTTCACGATGGGGTTTATTTGACCATCTGGTTTTATGTGCTGTCAAGTGATTCGTATGACACAAGTAAACCTCACAACCTTCCTTTTTGACATGCCTTTGGTATAATGAATATTCGAACGAGCTTCGAAGTAGTCGTTAAACCAGACACCCACCTACATTGACTCATGCTAACTTTCATCACATCAAACATAAATTCTCACCCTCTCTTCAGAGGACGCAACAGATAATTACACATCATCCATTACAAACAACAACTCCCACAAACACTTTCCAAACTGCCTCTCCTTCCAACCCACGACAAACCCCACTAGCTCCTCCCTCCCACTACTCTCCACACTAAAATGCCATAAATCCATAGCCAAACCATTCATCTCATCAAAACCCCAGATTCAAATCCAAAGTGGCCTTCAAAACCCGATCATAATTTCCTTCCAGTGGACCATATACCGAATATTTCGTCCATCAAATGTAGTGGATTGGATCTAATTGATTGCGGTAAACGTCATATTTTTAGACTTATTAGTCTCAAATTCACGACTCATGCTTCGGCAGAACCGAACGGGCTTTGTGAACGAGACTTGCTGTTTTTACTTAATCTTGTCTCCTCATGATATACCACTAAAGGATGAAGAACGCAACTTGACGATTTCGATTTGCTTGTCACTTTTATGTTGTATTGTGGCTTGTTCTTTAGACTCGTGACTGAAATCGCCTACTAGACCTCAGATACAACAACAAGAACGTCGACGATACCACACCTCGCAACTTTGGAAACCTCCAATCTCCAGATCTCTGCTTCCGATTACTGCATGTACCCGTCAAACCCAGGGCCATTTATCATACTATGTATCGAGGAACATGACTGGGAAGTCTCTGTCTTATATCCCCTTCTTCCGTCACCTTAAGAAACCCTGACTGGTATCAACCTTCCTTGTACACATTCCAGACTCACTGCTAATGGTGCTAGGAAATTTCTATCGGAAATCTAGGTGAAAAGAGAACTATGTTGATATTCCGAGAGTATTAAGATTCGTCATTGATGAGAAGATCTAGGTACGATCGATCGTGAATTGACATCAAATCATTAGGCATATGCGATTTTGTGGTAGATGAATTCTTCAAAATAAGGTGAACCGAATTGGATGAGACATTCTTATTAGTCAAAGACCTTGGTTGAACATTGGCCTTGAACACTTAAACATGCCCAGAATGTGAACGTCTCACTCTCGTTATACGAGACTAGTATGGTTCCCAAAACACTTATCCACCTATCCCAAAACCCTGAACCCTAAACCCCCAAAATCTAATCCCAAAATCCCAATCCTCAACCCACCACCCCTAACCCTCAAAGCCTAACAACACTAACATCCAAAATCCCCCCCTCACCCCTAAGTTCCCCCTCCACCTCCCTCCCCACATTCCCCTCAACCCCAAGTATCATCAACGCCTCATCCTCGCCCTCCCCCCTCCCCGCATCCTCGAGCGCCGCTACACTCATAAACCGCACATTAATCCCATGTCTGCCCAAAATCCCGCCCACACCCCCAATCTTCCCGGGGCGATCATAATTCCTGAGCAGGATCAAGAGTCCTTCAGGGACAAAACTCGCGAAAAACTTATCGATGCGAGAGATGTAGACTGTTTTGCCGGATACATAGCCAGAGATGATGCCTTCCTCGCTCCGCAGCGTGACGATACTGGCATATGCGAGATCGGAGTGGGATCCGGAATGGATCTCACTAACCACGATTCCCTTCTCTTTAGCAACGAGTTGCGCGTTCACGATATTAACATTCATCTCGCTAACCACGCCCATAAGACCCTTAACCAGCGCCGCGAATAAGGGACGTGTGTTAGAGATAGCAGCGAGTTCGCCCTCGTAAATAAGATCGAAGTGTTTACCCGTGAGTGCTCCTTTCGAACCCTTCCCTGAGTAGTGTTGCGTATACAACGATCCCATTTTCTCGACTAATTTGACGAAGGGCTGCAATTTGCGGTATTCCTCAGGGAGAATGAGCGGGGCGTTTACGGCTGAAGTTGGAAGACCGCCTTGTAAGATGGTGAGAACCTGCGCGCAGACGTCGAGGGAGACGTTTTCTTGGGCTTCGATTGTAGAGGCGCCGAGGTGGGGGGTTGCCACGACTCTAGGATGACGACAGAGTGCTTCAGCGGGGGAATTGGGAGCTGGTGGTTCGGAGGTGAAGACATCGAGGCCGGCGCCAGCGATGGTGTCATTTTCAATAGCGGCGAGGAGAGCGGCTTCGTTGTAGACACCGCCGCGAGCGACGTTGAGGACTTTGGCGGTGGGTTTCATTGTGGCTAGTTCGGCGGTGCTGATGAGATCGAGTGTGCTGGCTATGAGAGGGGTGTGGATAGTGAGGAAATCGACTTTGGGGAGGAGGGAGGGGAGGTCGGCGACGAGTGTTACGGAGGCGGATGCTGCCATATCGGGGTTGGCGTAGGGGTCCATGGCTATTACTTTCATGCCTAACCCGACTCCCATTCTGGCGACTTTGAATCCTACTTTCCCGAGTCCAATGATTCCTAGTGTCTTGCCTCCTACTTCTGTGCCGACTAGTTTACTTCTTTCCCATCCGCCATTGCGTAGACTTCGGTCTCCGGCTGGGACATTGCGAGCAACTGCCATGAGCAGAGCAATAGTGTGTTCAGCAGCGGCTACAATATTGCCACTTGGACTGTTGACAACGATGATTCCACGCGTAGTAGCTGACGCAACGTCGACATTATCAACACCAACGCCAGCCCTTGCTACAACTTTGAGATTTTTGGCGGCAGCGAGAACTGCAGCTGTGACTTTCGTCTCGGACCGAATGATGAGTCCATGATATTTTGGTATGATGGAGATCAGTTCCTCAGCGGAAACACCTTTCGGTTGGTCAATATCAAAGTGAGGTGAGAGGATAGCTAGCCCATCTGGAGATACTTTCTCTGGAATGAGGATTTTGGGACGACTTGTATTCGAATCGTTTTCTGGAGGAGAAGTCGCTGAAGGTGCCATTGAGAATGAGTTGAACTAGTTTCCTCTTTTGAAAATTAATCCAACTTATAGAAAAAAGGGCCTGCCTGAAGGATGGTATACTTGAACTACAAGCAAGTGCGGGGTATTTGAAGGGACTGTAACAGCTGAGTGAACACTGAATATAGTTTCAGACCTAGTGAATAGATATTTGTGGTGAACGCAGATGCTTCAAATGAATAGCATATTGAAAATGAATGGAAATAGGACGCCCTCATATAAATAACAAACATAAGCACTGCATCTGATCAAAGAAGTCGAGGTGGTGGGGTTGTTCGAAGTAGGCCAAGTCTGTCACACCTGCACCCCCGCGTTTTCAATCGAGCTAGGTCTATTTAGTTACGCCACATAAGTAACCCCACCATCCAGGAACGGAGCTCTACTTCGCTTCCAAGTATAGCCGCATACATAATTGCTTTGAGTAAGCAGTAGAGATCACCTGCACGGCAAAGGTTTCCTATGACAGTGGTTGTTTAGTCCGCTTATTGGATTCAATTTACATGTGGTGTTGGTTTGTACTACATGAGCTCCCCAAGTAAGGAGGGAGCAATCTATATTTTGTGTTGGCTTTCCTTGAGATTCTCGTTCTGAATCACCTCGATCCCTAGGTTCAATCAGTAAGTGTTTCGAGGTTGTAACGACTATAATCTGCTCAGATACTCACAGTAATTATCTGGATCCAGAACAAAGGCAACCGACTTCATACGGCCATCAGTAAGTCTCTTCTTCCAGTTGACTCCTAGATCCTCAAACCGCTTGCAAGCAGCATCTAAATCATCAACAGAGATACCTAACGATATTAGCTTGAGAATACGATGAGTCTCAATACCACCTACAAATGTGACCAAATCCCTGTGGCTCATCGTTTCCATTGTGATACTTAAAGTCGGCATCCTTCTCAGTTCCATAGTTCCACGTCAGCTCCAACAAGCCCTCTCTTTCAGCCGTTGGGTTGACCCCATTAGCCGATGTTGTTGGAATTCCGTCCTTTCCAGGATACCCAAGGAAGTAAAGGTTGAAGTTTGCGCTTGCATTCTCGCTAGTCCGGAAAAGCTCCATTCCCATAACCTCTTTGTAAAATTTGAGAGACTTCTCATGATCTTTGATACGAATCATGGTGTGGTTCTAGAATGAATTAGTGTTCGTTGCCCACCTAATGAGAAGCAACGTACCATTTTGTAGGTCTTGGTGTCAGTAGTGGTAACACCTTCAGTCTTCTCAACTGGATTTTGCCCAATGACCTCAACCCAGTATCCATCTGGATCCAAGACGAACGCAATGCTTCTCATGCGTCCATCAGATAGTTTCTTCTGGAATTTGTAGCCAGCGTCCTCGATTCTTTGACACGCAGCTTGAATGTTGTCTACACTGATACAAGTGTGCCCAAATCCTTTATAGGGATCAGCATTACCGGTAGAGACTTTGTAATTTGGATCATCCTCGGTGCCGTAATTGTGTGTTAATTCAATCAAGCCTTCCCTGTTACTAAAATGGTTGCCGCTGGAAATGGCTCCTGAAGAATCATAACCCATAAAGTAGAGATCGAATTTGGCTTCAGACTGCTCCACCTTTCTGATCATCTTCATACCAAGGTGCTCATAGAATTTGACTAAACGCTTACTGTTAGTGGGATTTTTCATTGTTGACACTACACATACCAGACTCTTTGGGGTCTTTCACTCGAATCCTATCCGTATATTAGCATTGATATAGCTGAGAAAAGGATCGTCAGACTTACATCGAGTGATTGAACTTGTAGGTCTTGGTATCAGTCGACATGGTTGCGTACGGTCTACTACCTATCAAGGTACCAAAGTATTAGCAGTCCATCAAATCACCCCACTATATACTGCGCAATGCGGCCCGTACCTGAATCTACTATGCTTCGAAAAAAGCTTGGTTTGGTGACTCGCTGGAAAGCGCGAGACAATTGCATAGAAAAGATGAGATTGATGATGCAGAGATCAGGAAAAGAAGAATGTGGTTGATGAAAGGTTGGAGAGGAGATATAAACACATGACCCCACCTTTTCCTATGACGCTGTGGAATCCCTAAATCGACAGTGGTGGAGTCGTGCTTAAAGCCGAAGGTCATTGGATGAACCCCGACTTCAGCGGATGGAAATCCTTCAAAGGTGTATTCCTTCTTGTTCTGATATGTAACTTCAAATATGTCTTGTCACTAACGGGTATATTCCGCTTGTCGTACTCGAGTGAAAGAGTATGATTGCTTGCTGGAGCATGGTGTAACAAGATATCCAATTCCTGGCGGCTTGCGACACACGACATCTCCATACTAGCAGCCTTTCCTTCCCGAGCACACGAAGGAGAGGGACATCAGAGGTCCGAAGGAAGCTAATTCATTCGATGGGAATAGCTTCAATCCAATTGATCGATTGCTTGAGGAGACGTCTGATGCTTGTGCTCCGGTCACTCGGATAATTTCTCTCCCGCAATTTTAGAGCTTCATCTTTTTGATCCAAGCTTCCCCGCGACAACATCAGGCACACGACCATCGACACTTTCCACGACAGTCCAGCTCTAGCCAATTCCTACTTCTCAATTGAAAAATTGTAAGATCATAGTCAGCTCTCCCCATCCACTCCCAAAACAACCTCTAACCACCATCGCAGCACCTCACGATCCAACACAATGCTCCTCACAACCCCCCTCACAACCTTCCTCTCCCACAACACCACCCCCCAACTGCCCACCCTCCTCCTCCTCACCCCCTCCGGCCTAGTCCTCTCCAGCGCCTCCCCCCTCCCCGCCTCCCTCCTACGCACCCAAGCCACCGCCGCCAGCACCCTGTGGTCCCTCTACCGGCCCTTCGACCGCACAAGCAACGCCATGCACAGCGCATTACCTTCAGACCCGTCCTCATCCGCCCTCTCCAGCGACACCGTAACCGACGACGACATATCCTCCATAACCGTCCAGCTCGCCCACGGCACGATGGTCATCCGCGAACTATCCTGCGGTCTGATATTCGTCGCCATCGGACCTACCTCTGCGCCTCCAAACCACATGTCTTCACCCTCACCATTACCAACTGCCCACACCACGACCACCTCACCGCCTTCCTCGCCGCCAGCACAACATCTTGCGCCGAGCGAGCTTGGGGAACGTGTGAGCTCCGGTGGTTCATTGAATAACATCCAAAGCAGCACGCCCTCGATAGCCGGGAGCGTAGGCAGTTCAGTGGCAGGCGCGCGACAACAGGCGGGGATTCTGAAGATCAAGAGGAGGGCGGATGAGGTGGGGAAGTGGTTGGAGGGGCAGCTGAGGGGGTTTGTGTTGAGTGCTGGGGAACGTTGAAGGGGATGGTTTCATCTGATTATACGTATGAGAACCATCTAAATACTAGTCGCTGAGGATGATGCTGAAACTGGCATGGATATGGAGTGAAGAAGTATGGAAGTTCTAGGTGGAGAAACAGAAGTCGTGGAGTCTGATACCCGATGTTGGAGAAGCTACAACTCCTGCTTCAAGACGTTTGGCGGCGAAGTTGTATACTAGAAGCTTTACAAAGCTGTAAATCAGACGCATAATCACCTGTACGTAATGGAAGGAACGGTATCATACGATACTCGATAATATAATCAACAGACGACATCAAGGACATCAGTTCACATGCGCTCATCAATAAACTCGCATTCGATATCTCGTGGCTGTTGTGGAAGCCAGTATTCTAGGTGAGTGGAGTTGAAGTCAACTCCCATGTGAACTGAGATTCATTTACACTTAAGTCACTTATGAGCAGTGTGGTTAGGTGTGTTTAACCTGTTCAAGCGAGCACACAGCATCAGACTTAGCTACATCCATCTGCGATTCTCGTTTAATAGCCTCTCACTCGGTAGATTCTTACACAGCAATTGAATCTAGATCGTGTTATTCGGAATTTGGTTTCTAAGCTCAACGACTTTCAATCTTAACACACACTCCGATGCACGCCCTTACTCATAGGTTCCTTCCCACCTCTCCCTTGTCCCTTATGATGCGATCTCTCTCCCGCACTCGAATGCATTTTCTCGGTACTTGTATCCTTTGATTTATTCAGGATGCTGAGATCGCCTTTGTCGTTTTCCTGGTGGGTTGTTAGCTTGTGATATAACGGAAGGAAGGGATGGTGGAGTGAGGATGAAGTTGCTCATCATAGAAGAGAAACTTACAATCAAATTCTGCGTAATCTGACAAATATCCGCAATCAACCGATCCAACAAATCCAAACTCATACTCTCCCTGACCACCACCCTCAAAATCTCAATCTTATCCTCGCTCGGCGGCAATGGGTAATTCGGGACGATATACTGCTTCGCGCGCAGCAGATTACTAACATCGACCTGATTAATATGGGAAAACTCCTTCTTAAACTCATCGCTGAATCTAAACGCAACGACAGGGAGTCCGGCGTTGTAATCCGCGGACGTTTCGTCTTCTTTGCCAAACGCGATGTCGTCAATGGATGTGAACTTGTGCACGCCCTTTGGTCGATGGATATCGGAGACGCAGGTGTACCAGCCTGTTGCTTCGAGAGATTTGGAGAGAAGACGGGCGTTGGCCATGCAGTTTTCCATGATGGAGCGGTAGCCAGAGAAGCCTAGGTGCACGAGGTTGTAGTATTGGGCGATGACTTGGGCGCCGGGACGGGAGAAGTTTAGGGTGTAGGATTCTTCGGTGCCGCCGAGGTAGTGCTGGGTGAGAGTTAGTCTTATATGGTAGGAATCGAATGGGGCTTTGGGGGAAAAGGGACTTACGAGCTCAAAGACAAGGTGCTTTGGGAGGTAGGCTTCATCGCGCCAGATGATCCAGCCTACGCCCGCGTAGACGAGTCCAAATTTGTGGCCGGAGGTGTTGATGGATTTGACACGGGGAAGTTCGAAGTTCCACTTAGGACCTCCAACTTGAGCATGAGTGAAGGGAGCGACGAAGGCTCCAGAAGCACCGTCGACGTGGATTGGGATATCAACACCTGTCTCTTTCTCATAATCGTCCAAGATCTTGGAAATCTCCTCGACGGGCTCGTAGTGACCGGTATATGTGCTTCCCAGAATAACGAACACACCAATAGTGTTCTCGTCAATGTTTTCCTTGACTAGGTCGGAATCAAGTCTGAAATTACTCTTCTCAGATACAGGCAAAATGCGTGCTTCGACCTCGAAGTATCTAGCAAACTTTTCAAGCGCAACCTGAGCGTTCGCTCCCATGATAATGTTTGGTTTTGATGTATCTTTTCCTTCCTTCATTCTCTTTTCTTGCCAGCGACGCTTCATAGCAAGGCCGCCTAGATGAATGGCTTCGGAGGATCCAGTGGTGGCTGATCCAATAGCTTTCTCGCCCTTTTGCACACCCCAGAGGTGAGCAAGGATACTCACACATCGAGCATGAATTTGCATCATAGCAGGGTATTCGTCTGCATCACTCATGTTCTTGGCAATGTTCTCAATCATGAGATTTCGTGCATTTTCTTCCATATATGTACCGACGAAACTTGCCAGATTCAAGTTGGGAATTCCGTCCAGATCAAGTTCGTCTTTGATCATTTGGTGAACAGCATCGGCTGGTGCTCCCTCGTTGCCAATCTTGAATTTGGGGATTTCTTGCTTGCTGGCATAGCGTGTGGAGTAAGGAGTTATAGAAGATGTTCCGCCATTTGTGTGTGTATGTCTTCGACCTGCTTCTTTCATGTGAAGATTGTGAAGCTTGTCGATGATTTCATCGGGGTCGACCTAGATTGGGATTAGAAACTTGAACAACTCGGAACTGGAGGAATTGAAGCTGGAAACTTCAATTGACAGACTGACATGGCGGGCGAGAGGCATCTTGGGGGCTGTTCTGTTATTACGGAAGATATGAGATCAATTGAAGGGCTAGGAATTTTGAGCAGTAGACACTGTAAAAGAGGAAGCAAGGAGAGAAAATGCACCCAAAGGGAGCTCTATAAACAAACCATGAGCCATGACGACAGCTTTTCGGCACAGTTAGCACAAGGTACAGTCAGTGTCTTCCACGCAACTGCTGCCCCTCATCACCCGGATGGTGAGGGGTTTGTGAAGTGCTTTTGTCGTCGGTATGGGAGGGAAGCTCGTCGTGAGATCCACTTGACCGTACTTCGACGGAGGTTCCAGATCATAGCTTGCTGTTTCCCTCAAGTCAATTGGATGTTAAAGAGCTTCGAAGCTCATCCAGTCACGCCAAGACGTAATGATGCTGGAATTAAATGTGTGCCCGGCACCGCTAAGGAAAGCTTGGTTTTAATCCTTGCGCAGAGTCATCCTGGGTTTTCTCCTCAACTCGATGTCTCGTGATATTGTCACGTGATGGTGCCTACTTTTCGTGAAAAGAATTCACCAGAGATGTAGCAAGAACAAAACATCGATAAGCTTGAAGGCAGACCTAGAATAATGTGGTCTTTTTCACAATCCTTTATGGATTTTGACAGTGTCAAAGTAGAAACTGCACTGGTGGTGTTCTCCGTAACCTGTGATTCGTACTCGTACCTAGTCTCGTACGCCCGTAATGACTGCACGGGGCCGATCCCCGCATCTGTGAGGCCTTATCGTTATCGCCGATGACGTTGAAGTCTCGAGTCTCAAACCATTGCATAGAAGCACTCCTCAAGAGAGCTTATTGACATCCAGGATTCTGATAGAAGAATATCCTCGATATCTTTCATCTGTAGCCACGGCTCTTTTGCTTCTAGACTTCTCATCTATTTCATATCCGACCATACATAAGTGATCATACTCGATGTTCTAGAGACACGGAGGATTCAATGTCCCGCTCGAGGGGCACATGTGGTTTGATTCGCTCGCCTCATTCGTGGTGCATCAATGATGTATTGATGTGAGGTGATTTGAACCGAAGGACGCGCAAGCTTACCAACGAGCACACAGACGCATGGAGTTGAGTCTCTTTGATTCGAACCAATTGAGGTGGTTGTCTTCTTCCAGTTCCGGACATCCCTAGTCTCGTCTTACCTCCCTCGCTCTTGCGAATCCCATCGAGGCGTCATGCCATTGCTAGCCTGATTGGCATTCCTTATGTACCTACTTCTCGACTTGCCGTTGATCATCTTCCTTTACAACAACAACACCATCAATTATCCACGATGAAGTTCGCAACCACTCTATTGCCGCTTGCGGCCTTATCAACAGCATTTGTTATTCCAGATGATGTAGTGACCGAGCGTATTGTTGCTCAAAACGCAAAGTCACAGACATTCTTGGACAGGATTCAGGACACCGCCGAGAACGTCTGGTCAGAAGCTCAAGACAAAGTTCACGATGCCGTAGCATACTCCGAGAATGCATTCGACAACGCTCTCAATGCTGGCAAGAAGGCCAAAGAGGCATTCGAATGCCATATGTCGATGACCAAGTTCGATGTCGAATCATGGCTGGATACCAAGATGGAGAATGTTATGGATGTTGATATCTTTGATCATCCACACCACCGACCAGATCATCCTCATCATCCCCACCACCCACCTCACCACCACGATCCGCATAAGCACCACCCAAACCTCACCGTTTACCAGCTCATCGCGAGCAGCAAATACACCACGAAGTTTGCAAAGCTCATTGACGAATACCCAGATATTGTTAGTGCCTTGAACAGCACAGCTGTCAACTCAACTGTGTTTGCACCAACAGACAAGGCTTTTGAGAAGCTCCCACACCACCACAAGCCATCGAAGGAGTTGCTCAAGAGAATTATTCAATACCACGTTTCACCAGACTTCTACCCCGCTGGTCGTGTCTTGGTCACACATACAATTCCAACTGCCTTAGTTGAGGAGGCTCTCGGTGGTCAACAACGTCTTCGTATTGGTTTGGGATTGGCCAAGGGATTGAATGTCAACTTCTACAGCCGAATTATTGCCATTAACATCTTTGGTACTAATGGTGTTATTCACGGTGTTGACTCCCTACTTCTCCCACCACCACCAGCATTGAAGATTGTCGAGCTATTCCCAGGAGAGTTCAGCACTCTTCAACTCGGTCTCGAGAAGACTGGTCTTTTCGACGCTATCAAGGAGGCTCCTCACGTTGGTGGTACTCTCTTCGCACCAAGCAACTGGGCATTCCAAAAGCTCGGTCCAAAGATCAACGCTTTCCTCTTTAGCAAGTATGGTCAAAAGTACTTGAAGGCACTCTTGGAATACCATGTTGTTGCCAACCAAACACTCTACTCCGACGCTTTCTACCATGGAGAGGGCGCTTCGGCTGACGCCGTCGACGAGATTGACATGTCTGGCATTCCAAAGGGATATTTCCACGTTGATCTCCCAACACTTCTCCATGAAAAGTCCTTGAGCATCGATGTCGCTAGATACGGTGGACTCATCAGTATCAAGATTAACGGATTCAGCTCTGTCGCTGTTCAAGATGGTCTTGCAAAGGATGGTGTTGTACACGTTGTCAGTTCTGTATTGATCCCACCTAAGACTCCTGGTGACGCTGCTTGGGCGGGTGAGGAGATGACGGTGGAGGAGTTTAAGGATAGATTTGATTCGCTTGAGAGGGAGCTGTAAAGAAAACACAAAAGAAAACACAGGATGATTAGATAGCGAGGGATGGAGATGAAGTTACGGCCGTGGGTGAAAACGAAATGAAGCGATGACTTGTATTTTATTTGAATGATATTATTTGGTTAATTCACTCTCCTGTATGTGTTTTCGTGACCTGTTGAAGTTATCTATTAGTGGTTCCTAATAGAAAACAGCTCTTAAACTGGCTTAACCCATGGTACAGATCTATCGTGCCTCGAGCTGTATTTTCCACATTGCTCTTGATCGAGAATTCGGTATTCAGTCCATGGTCACTGCTTTGATCTCCGCATCTCCTTGGAGGGGAGAATGAGCGGTTACTACTACTTAGTCCCCCACCACAAATTCTTCCTACATCAACCTCTTATTTTCTTTGAATACAACTCTTTGTGTTACTCCCGAGTAGAATGGTAGTTGCTGGGTTGTAGGGAACGGTTGTGAGGGGAGGGGGATGAGAGTTTGGTTGTGGGCTGTGGTGGGGTGAGGCGTGGTGGATGAGAAGTTGAGTGATGGAATTGGAGAAGGAAGGGGTGGGGAGGAAGATGTGAAGGTTCAGGTTAATGTTCTTTTTGAGAGAACATTATCATACTATCCAACTGTTTATTCCGTAAGTTGAAAACATATCCAGCTTTGGTTAATGGGAAGTCGTGATGGATAATTGCGTAATAACAATGGTCGCTAAAGGGGACAGGTAATTCCGTGAGCGGTTTACGTGAAACCAAAAAGGCGACTGTACATCAATTAAGCTATAAAAATGTTCGTTTATTTAATTTGGTAGTATAAACGACCCAACGGATGTATGAGATATCACGCGGTTCTTCTGATTGTGATGGTGACTTTATCGACTAGACGAATATATCTAGCTTGACGCGAACAAGCTACACGTACCAGTCCTTAGGAGCGCTGGTGCATGAGGGTTTGAGCGTCCGACTGGTCGGACTAGTGTAGGATGAAGGGACGAAAAGGAGATGATGACTGGGTTTGGTGGAAATTCAAGTTCTGGTTGGGGGAAGAGCTTGGTTGTCATTGATAGATATTACAGATTTGGTGCGATAGAAAGATTGGTGTATTAGTACTGTGATTGTATTTAACGGTACGCTAACTAATTAAATTACTCTCATTTCTAACACGAAATATCCAGATACACGATCACTAAGCAATAAACAGATTCCCTCCAAACACCATCCGCCTCCCAAAAGCGAATCTAAATTACAACCTCGCCCAAATCAACCTCAAGTACAACAAGAAATCACCGCCGCAATCGTCGCTACCAAAGTAAAAACCCCCGTCACAGCCCCAATCACTATCCCCGCAATCTCGCCCTTACTCAGACCTCCCTTGCCCTCGGTATGCACCTCGCTATTCGTCTGGTTCGCCGTCGAGTTGTCGTAGAAATTCTGGTAGTAAACGATCGGTGCGGCGGTGATGCTTGCTGAGGGAATGGATGTCGCGGTGATGGTTTCGATGACGGGGCGACGGGTAGCGTCGGATGCGGTCTCGACGGTCACGATGATGGAGGGTGAGATGGCGCATTGGTAGCCGCTGAACGTCGTGGTGCCGTAGAGGGAGCGGAAGGTTGCGCAGTAGCGGTATTGTGCGTTGCTAGAGATGGATTAGGGAAGGATGAGAAAAAGAGGGGGAAGGGGGGTACCATTTCCCGATTCCGTAGTCTGCTTGACAGTTTAAGCCGCAGTTGTTGAGACTCGCGTATGGGATGCAGGATGTTGCTAGTTGGCAGTATTGGAAGTTTCCTGCTGGACAGCAGCCCATGGCTTCTTGATAGTTGTTTACGGCGCACCGGTAGCCTACTGCGCAGGTGACGGGATATACTGGTGGATGTGTTAGTAGAGGATAGATGTTGGTGAGGGTTTGTAAGACTTACGAGTGTTTCCTGTTGCATATCCACAGATATCTCTATAATCCCGCTTTTTCAACTCTTCGAGCGGGTCAACTAAAACTGCTTCTTCGGTAGGTCTGGGTGAGATTCCAGTACTGAGGAGTCCTTGGGATGAGGCTGTAGGAGCTGGACTCGCTTGTACTAGAAGGCCGAAAATAAACGCGAGGATAGCGACCTGAATCGGGCGTCTTGAAAACATGTTTGAGACTCAAAGACAATATTTCTGCTGGTGAGATACGCGTAATCGAACCAAAATGCCGACGAGAAACACGTCCTTTAATAAGACAGAAGAGCCTCATAACAGCCCTACTGAGTTCAGTGAAAGTTCTGATATTTGCTGGTTATTACTCATAACCATGCTTTCCCAAAATCAGCCCTGAGTGTTGTGATAGAGGGCTTGGATTCGCCCTCTTCGGGAAGTATCAGACGAATTAAAGCGTAAATTACCAGCCAAAGCTGAGTCTGGAGAAACCCGTATGTCGTGTAACATCATTTCTCGCGTCGAGCCGCAGTATCCTCTTCGCTGGGTGGATGTTTTCTTGGTGTCGTGATTTATTTTGAGGTTTGAAAAGCCACGGCTGGGTTGAAATGGCATGCCATGCCCCCACAGTGCCACGAGGCTGGCAATTTAGCACGAGGTCCCAGACCGAGATCTCGTTGTTTTCCCAGCTTCTCAACACCGTTGGTGACTTGGCTGGCAAAATAAAATCGATACGACACAGGAAAGTTTGCTCTCCTGTAAAAGGTTGCCAGAAAATTTACCTATCCGACGGGTAGCATCAAGTGCCTTTGACACAAACCGTTGAACACACCACTAGACACCCACAAGTAGCTGACATAAATCTCAGAGGAAGGCATTTTCAACAAATGATCCAAGCCGGTTTTGCCGTTAAAACCTGTCCGGTCTATGATAAGGCTGGCCAAATCGGATGAGCATCACCCATCTTCGTTCTCCATAATCACTGATAATTGACGATCATTCCAACCAGATGCAAGCCATCGGCATCTTATACGGCTTTCCCAAACTGGCAGAAGTTGATTCCATTTCGTTAGATCATCTCAGTCTTCATATTTGCTGATTTTGAAGACTTATCGATGGCTATCTGGATGTCTGTGACCATTGGCGTCAGCGCAGGTGCAAACTGTATACGGAATCTGTGACAACTCGGTGCGTTGATAAATTCTCCGTGGTGTATATCGTTAGCTGTACAGTAACATTTTTCAGATTGAAACCGGGATTCAATAAAAATATGTATTTGAGAAAATTGAAGCACTTAGAGAGGTCCTCGTTGTTCGCACGCTTGGGCGAGCTCAGTGCTTATGCAATGACTTTAAATAAAGGTAGATTTGCGGTAGGTATTGTCTCTTCCGATAGTACTGTATGCCCAAGCTTTTAGCCACCTAGGTCTCCAATAATGTGATGTATTGTGACTAGTTGTGATGTTGAAAGCAAATGAGGAACGAAGAACGAAGCCGAAGGAGATGGGTGTCCCTACGACTCAGGGTTCACCGCCCGAGACCCACATTCATCCCAATTCAGCGAACTACCCCGCCATCTGCCACGGGAAAATATCACACCAGCGACCACACCATCCCCGACTTTTGCTTCCCCTCACAACTTTAATATTTGCAAAACCACGCTTTTGTACGGCGGCATAATTAGACAAAATGTCTGCTAACGATACATATCAATCGCCATTGGCGTCCCGCTATTCTAGTAAGCCCCAGACCAATCCATTGAAGAGCTATTCACTGATTGTCTGATCAATTTAGGCGCGGAAATGAAAAAGATATTCTCGAACCGAAACCGCGCATCTACATGGCGACAACTCTGGCTCTGGCTTGCGGAGGGAGAGAAGGAACTCGGTCTCGATATCTCGGACGAAGCAATTTCTCAAATGGCTGAGCACCTCGAAATGACCGACGAGTGCTTCAAGGTTGCTAGTGAAGAAGAGAAGAAGAGACGACATGATGTTATGGCCCATGTGCATGCGTTCGGGCAGGTGGCGCCGAAGGCCGCTGGAATTATTCATTGGGGGGCTACAAGCTGCTATGTTACTGATAATGCGGAGTTGATCTTCATGAAAAATGCTCTTGATCTGTAGGTACTAGTTTAAATGGTCTTGTGTACTGAAGACAATTGACATAATATCGTTTATTTCGTCAATTGTTTTTCGTAGATAGCATGCCAGGTCTCGTCTCTGGAAAGAGCTGACTGTGGTACAGGGTGTTACCAAAATTGGCGACTATCATTTCGAAATTGGCGGACTTTGCGATCGAGTATAAGGATATGCCTACGCTTGGATTCGTAAGTCCGAGCCCAATGTATAACAATGATCCACGACTGACTCAATTCCAGACTCATTACCAACCAGCACAGCTTATCACTGTCGGCCGTAGAGCAGCTCAATGGACACAGGACTTGCTTATGGATTTGGAAGATATTTCTCGAGTCCGGGATGATTTACGCTTCCGTGGAGCTCAGGGGACTACTGGAACGCAAGCTTCATTTATGGAAATTTTCCACGAGGACGGAGATAAAATTGACAAACTCAACGAATTCCTCTGCAAAAAAGCCGGATTTCCCTCATGCTACTCTATTTCAACCCAAACATATACCCGTAAAGTCGATTTGAGAGTTGCTAATGCTCTTTCTGCTCTTGGAGGAACTGTCCAGAAAATCACCAGTGACATCAGGTGAGTCTTTTCGTTGGCGCAAACATGTTTAAAAACTCACAATTTTCTGCTAGACATTTGGCCAATCGTAAGGAACTCGAGGAGCCATTTGAGAAGGATCAAATCGGCTCATCTGCAATGGCATACAAACGCAACCCAATGCGATGTGAGCGTATTGCTGGCTTGGGTCGTTTCCTTGCAAATCAGAACAAGATTGCCGTTGACACCTTCGCTGCTCAGGTAATGAACTTTCCCAAACACGTCAACCAATTTACTAAATATCTCTAGTGGATGGAAAGAACACTTGATGACTCTGCTATTCGTCGTATCATGATTCCAGAGATGTTCTTGAGTGCCGACGCTATCTGCATGACTCTCGACAATGTGGTCAGCGGCTTGGTTGTTTACCCAGCTCGAATCCATTCAGCCGTTATGGAAGAGCTTCCATTCATGGCCACCGAGAACATTATTATGAAGCTGGTTGCACTAGGTAAATCCCGACAAGACGCCCATGAAGAGATCCGTGTCTTGAGTCATCAAGCTTCGGATGTTGTCAAGAAGGAGGGAGGCAAGAATGATCTCATCGAACGCATCAAGAAGACCGAATTCTTCCAACCTGTTTGGAATGAAATTGACGCCATGCTCGACCCAAAGAACTTCATCGGTCGTTGCCCCGAGCAAGTCACTCGTTTCTGTAGTAACGATGTTGCGAAAGCTCTTGCGCCTTATAAGGAGCATATCACGAAGAGCAAGAACGTCGAGCTCACTGTTTAATTCTTCATTGGTACAAGGAGTTGTCGGATTCCGTTTCCGATCAGGTTTCATTTGTCTAATATTATGAGATATTTACGACGTTCAAAAGCCGTTGAAACAGACTGGAACTGATGAATACTTAACTCCTCTGATTGACTTGCATACTTTCAAAGGCGTCCAAAAGTCTTGGGTTTTCTGGTGTATAGGCGTTTTAGCGCAACATGGTTTTGATACCGGGGAGCAGATTTGTATTTTCTTATCTCTACGACCAGCTATCTTTGGAAACAACAATGCTTAACTATAATGGAAATAGACAGGAGAGAAATAGAGTAGAGAATTGAAATAACTTTGTCCTAGAAGTCACAATAATCTTGTCTCTAATAAAGCAGTTTGTGAGGTGTCTTTCTGCGCTGATACATTTGTACGTAGTAAGTAGAGTCGGTAATAACTTTGAGTTGTCGCTCGACGAGGTTAAGGCACGTATAGGAGGGTTTTGATCAAGATTTCATGATGAGCAGGATGCTGGATATATATTACTACACACATTGTTGGGTGTTTGATACGTCCAACGCAGTTTATGCCTTCCAGACTGAGTGGCAACCCAGCTCACGGAAATTGGGGGCCGTAATGTATAGTGTCCAAAGACCTCTACTGAAAATTAGCTGAGTGCTGAGAGGGATATATAAATGTATAGTAAAATATATATTAGGTTTAACGTTGTTATTGTTATTCTCCGTAGAATACATCGGCTAGTTGTGTGGGAAAAGTAAAACTCCTTCGATGTTCAAAAATTAAACGATTGGAGCGGGAGCGAGTGGTATTTGGAAAAACTAAATAGTGAGTGTATATGTATCTCTAGATACTTCAGTTAATGAGGAATGGTTCTAATTTGATGTTGATACGTAGAGGATAGAGGGGAGTGGCAGACACTAGTGATAATTTTCGGGTTTCCAGGTTACATACTCAGACGATTAAATGTGCTAGGTAATATTGTGAGATTGAAGTTTTTATTGACGCTGTAGAACAAATAGACCGCTCCATAGGCCAAGACAACATGAGCTCCAGTCTACCTACCTAGGTATGCCGGTTCTGCTACGTGATATGAAAACCGCTCGATGATGCAAGTGAACAAAGACAATTCGCCTCCCAACAAGAAACATGATCATATCTTGCATCTCCCCAAAGGCTCTTTCAAAGAGCGCGAGACACTACGATTATAGTCATCAAACGACGGCCCTACACGCTTCATGTCAGATCTTCTCCCGAAAAGGCCGCAGAATATTTACCATCTAGGCTCATCCTTCTCCGCCCCCGGAGTATCTAGAGCATTACCATCACCGAAAGGATCATTATCGGCCTCATCATCCTCATTCTGTGGTGGTGCTGCCATGGGTGCACGACGAGGAGGCATTGGCGGTGCCTTCTCCGGACTCTTGGAACTGGAGCTTCCCATATTCGCAAAAGCATTCTGGGAAAAGGCATCAGTGTTTTGTCTGGTTTTGTGTCTTTCTTCGATCACTATGTTTCTACATTAGCAAGTCTCTTTACGATTGGGATGGAGGTTACCTACTTCTGAATGCATGCTGTTGCGCAGCCAACTCGTCGTCTGAATCGCTTTCCGCGTCAAGTGAGCCATCTTCGTTCACAAAAGCTTTGAGCGCATCCATTAATCTCGAATTAACATCGAGCAGTGGGCCGACATATTCTTCGGAGCCCTCGTATTTCTGTTCGGTAAGATAATGTAGCTATTAAGTCAGTAAAGTCCACTGTCAGAAGTTTCGCTCTTACATAAGTCTTAATCTTTTGACGATGCTTTTTCCCTATCTCAAAATACCGAAGTGCATTTGCGTTTGCAGTGATCTGTTGGCCTCCTTGTGATCTTAATACATTTTCCAAGTTTGATGCCGCGATGGTGGAATCGGCAACACAAGCTTTCATCATCGGTTTCTCTGCCTCGAAGTTGAAATTCTTGTTTCTCCCCTTGCTTTTCTTATCTTTCTTTCGAAAGAATGAACTTCGGGTATGGCTTGGCTCACTTGGTCGAATTGGAGAAGCCACTGGAACGACAGGGGCTGCAACCTTTCGAACGGGTGCAGGTGCAGGTCGTTCTGTCTCTGCGCCGTCACCGAATGGATTATCGGCGTCACTTAAGGCTTTGGCTTTCTGGTGCTATGTGAGCTGATGATTCATCTTACGAGAAGTGGTATTGAATACCTTATAAAGTCGAGCAATATCTGGATTATACTTGGACCATCCACGCAAGAGCTTTGTGCATTCTGACCTCACAAGTTGACCGGAGTGCTTGTCCAGACACCTGTCAAAACTATCCACCAACTTTTTGTTTGCGAATCTCTTTTGGAATGTCTCTCCTGCATTTTGAATGAGTCCATCCAAGATTTCCAGAGCCCTTAGTCTTTGATGTTCATTTCCATACAAAAGCTCCATTCTAATCGCCCGTGAAGCTTCTTCGATCCCACTTCCTCCTAACAGTTTCATCGTCTCAATGATGTTGACAATTCCACTGATATCATCTTTCTTATCCTCACGGCAAAGGACCTCTATATTGGCCGTGATAGCCGTGTAAGGCTTGTTCTAAAGAAAAGACTTCCGAATTAGTATGTATAACAGGCACCGACAAACATCTAGCGTAACATGTTTGGAAAAAAAACAAGTCCTACGGAGCATGATTCTCCAGTGTTCGTTTGACTAAAAAACCGAGTTATGGATTGGCCGACTGGCTGGACACTAATACAATTTTATCCTAGACACAGTTGATAAATAGGAAGAGCAATGTCTGTTTCCTGATGGATGTAGTCTTTGAACATGATAAAACTCATAGTTTGTGCTTTGAGCAAAAGAAAGATATACGGACCGGGTTACGAGTTGGCCTCATGATGGTAGCAAATGATAGATGAGCAGTGGCTTGCAATCCGTTTAACCTGGATACTTGAGAACTTAAGTAGATAAGGTAATCTAGCTCCGGAACTTTTTAAGGAAGCAGCTTCTAGAAGCCAAAATAGTTGCTATTGACTCCTAAGCTGTTGCTGATAACAGCAGCGCGGGGTGAAACGAAGTGAGCGTGTAAACGGATCGCGGACAATGCTCCGTTGAGCTATGGTTGTTGAAATGAAGGGTGGATATCGCAAAATTGCGCTGCTTAAATATACTTAAACTGAGTAATGAGTCCAACTAGATGTGAATTACCCGCGTGAATTCACTTTGAAGCTCGAGCTGCGGCTCAGAAAGTGATGACTGGAGACGACGCTTCAGGTAACCGGGCAATCGGACGACCCCGCCGCCAAGACTTTGTGGCCGAGTTTATGCCGACAGAATCGTGGTGTTTTGTTGACATTGCTCTTCTTGATGTTCAGAATCCTCATCAACATTCTTATATGTACATCTTTTCTGATGCAACGAACGAGAGATAGGTGTGCTCAGTCAATTGAGCGTCCTGGGTGTGAAGAAAGAAGGGGATGGAGTTGAATCAGGGTTGGGAGGAGCTGCATGTGGACGGCGAAGCCAACATTGAACCGTTGGTTGAAAGAGCAGAGCTTCTTCTTCACAGCTAACATCGAGCAGAGAGCCACATACGTTCCGACCGCAGCCATGTTTCACACCAGTTACTCATAAAAAAGCGCCTGTCCAATATGTTAATCCCTATGATACCATTTACTATCCCGAAGAAGCTGCCGACTTCTTGCACAACCGGCTCGAAGATGGAAGTGATGTTTTCAAGCGAGGCATTACTGAGGAAAGAGGTCAAACGAGTGATATGGAGAAAGACTGTTCTTATTCAATAGGCGCCATATGGCCATACGCGGATGAAGAGGATACTGGAATGGAGAAGGAACTGGTTGTGGAGAAAGCGGCTAAGCGACAAAAGACTGCTACAAAACGGGGGACGAAAGGCAAGCGGGCACCGTTCAAGGTTCAAACCATTGAATCTGACGATGAAGATATTGTTGGATCATTTTGTAGGCATCGGCCTAATTTGTCCGAGCCAACACAGTCGATAACACCTCCAGACACCGCCAATCGAGGTAAGAAGCAAGCACCATCGAAAAAGGCGAAGGGAGCAGGTAGAAGTCTACCAGCATTCAAAAGCCTTACAATCACGAAACCAATTCAAAGAGATGAGAAAAAATTTCAGAAATCCCAGCAAAATCCGACAGAGGCTGCTCCAGTCGTCGTCAGTTACCAAGGATGGTCGTCTACCGAATCAGCTGTAAAGAACAATGCCATTAAGATCGGACAAACAACTCTTGATAAATTAGCGGCTTTTCGGTACCAAGCTCCAGCACAAATAGGTCAATCTGGAAATCACGCTTCTTTCAATGAGACTTCAGAACAGTTGCTCAACAACAGGGACACAAACCAAATCCATTCCATTCCGAAGCCGGAGTGCCTACTAGGTCGTGAGGATGAGAGCTCCCAGCTAGCAGGTTGGAGAATTGACACGGGCGATCCATTCTGTGATCAACCCAACATTGAAGGGATAGACACTCACAACACATCAGAACACCCTGGGCTCACAGGAAACAGATTTGGTTTAGGCTTGTCCCAGGTTAGCACTGATATCGTGACTGGCTATCAACCCGAAGATAGGCAATATGCTACGAAAGCTGATTCGCAAGTGGGGTGCATGCCTTCAGGCTCCAGTTCTTTCTTCCCTTACTATACTTCCAGTGAGCAGCGAGTTCTCGACGGGCTCTTATCCGTGGTTGAGACGGCGAGGGAGGATGGCGAAACGATTCAAGAAGCATCCCAGAGGCTGAAAATACCTCCTGTCATCAGTCATAGCCTAGGAATGATGATGGGAGAGATGATCTCTTCAGATGCAGCATTTGTCGATGCAAACCACGCCGAAGAACAATGTGTAACGCCGCTGGTAAGACCAGACTCTGAAGTGCATTCGGATGGCCACCACTCTGTCCAGGAAAGTATCAGTCCAGCCAATGCTGCTGAGTCCGACGATGAGTTTGATGATGGCGTCGACGACACGGACCTACTCGCTGCAAGTAATTGCATACCAATGGACGGGTCTGAGCCGAATAATTGTTCTCCAACACCCGTCTTTCTCAGATCTAACCAAGCTCCTCATGTACGGCAAATGCAAATGACGAAGAAAATTCCCGCCCACGACGAGGCAACCTCCTCGTCACCATCTCTTTTAGAATCGGACCCAGACTTGGACAATTTTGCTATGTGTTACGCCGGTGAGAAGGATCAGGATGATACCAAAAAGGATGGAGAAGCTGTAGAAAGGTTTAGAGCACCCTCGAGTGTTCAACGTTCTTTTCTTGGCAAGACGAGTGAAGCAGAAGTCTACGACAGCACCTTACAATTTTCGCCGCCTCCAAGTCGAACTTGTTCCACAAAACCCCAAACCTCACCCGGGACTCATAATGCTAACAGTTGTAGTCAATCGCAAGCCATGACATCTCTCTCGGTGGGTAGAGGTACTCACCCTAGTAGCGAAGACTGGTCTTTCATAAACGGCTCTGGGCTAGACGAACAAGAAACGATTGAAGAACCAAAGCCCACTCAGAATGTTGAACATAATTCTGATGGTGTATCACAGAATCAAGACACCAACCTGAGGACAAAGGCGGACGTTGTCGTTCTGGACGACATTGACGAATGTAAACCCTTCGAGCGGTTTGTAAGACCAGCATTTCCTTCACTCGTTCGTGATCGCTCTCCAATCATTGGTGTTTCTCCTCAAACTTTTCTCCGAGTTTGTTTTCGAATCTATGAGATGTACCGCGAAGGTGCCAGGTGTTTTCAGTCAAATCAAGATGCAATAATTGAACTATTCGCTCGAGTTACTTTCTCTTTACGGGATCCAGGCACGACAAAACAACACTTTCAATTTGCGGACCTCTGGAGCAAGCATCCGCCATTTGCCACAGGTATTCTTACGGATATCAAACCCACGACTCTAGCTGATACGGAAAGTAAAGGTCTTGTTGGCGGTGACTTGGGCAAGAAGGTGCGATGTTTAGGGAGGTTGAAAAAAGATGCGAAAACTAGTAGTGGATGGCTACTTCATATTATTAACATTAGGCAAACCGACTGGGAGGAGATTCGATGGACTAAGAGAATTGTAAGCCAGGAGGTTGATGAAGATTCGGACTAGGATTATTTGGCGTGTTTCTTGGGGAGGCTCCTACATTTATTGCTATACACAAAATCTTGCTATGCTCTGAGGCGCGAACTAATCTTGACACAGACGAATTTAACACTGGGAAGTGGTCCCAAGTTGTTGGGTGCTACATAGCATATTTAGCTGAATTTACAACGTATTCTCTTTACACTCCTCGCTTCTTCTTCTACGCTCCTTCAACCTCATCACAGGAATTTTACTCCCAACAACAGTTCACAAAGCCTTACCCTAGCTAAACTAGCATGTAATCTTACACTTTTCGTAGGAAGTAATCTTCTACATTAAACATGTATTGTTAAACCCGTTTATTCCCCGCGCCTCGGCAAATCATCATCGACGGCTGTGCCGCAACCACACATCTCGTAAAGCTCGTCCCATTCGATCATGAACGATAGCTGCTCACTCGCTGCACTGATTGGCCTTCGGTCAGCCCAGCTGGGCGATGCTGACGCGTCCAGAATGGGTCGCAAGGCAGCTGTCAGACTCGGATGATCGTTGGTCCATTCTTTATCTACTATCGCACTCCCTCGTATTTCGTACTTGACCAACTCCTTGATGATTATGAAATAATATACAAGTTGCACGAGCCTCAATTGCGTCGCGATATACTTCTGTACTAGTACCACATACCTTAGTACTAGGACAGTTCAACTCCAATTACCTTAAAGCATTAAACACAACACCACCACCGCCTTCATCATGAATCGTCACCGCTACGAATCCGTAAGTCCCCTCCTCTCACCTCACCTCCTCCATCTAACCCACCACAGGTCCCCCAACGCTCAACATCCACAACCCACCGCGCCTACGACCCTCAAATCGCCTCTCCCATCCCCCTCTCCACCGCCCCCTCCTCCTACAACTTCAACACAGGTCTCCCCTCCTCAGCATCCTCCCTCATAGACACCCCCTCCACAACCAACACCCCCATCCCCAACTCTCCCCCTCCCTCCTTCCACACCCATTCCTCGCCCGGCACCCCGCGACCAACCCAATCTATCCGCTCCGCCTCCCTCTGGGGCGTCGCCCCCTCCACCGTCACCACGGGCGACACCACCTCCAACGACGCACTCGCCACGATTGCCGGGTTGAAACAGCGCGTCGAATGGCTCGAAGAATCCATCGGTCGCTTACTTCTCGAGAAGGAAGAACGCTCGTCCTCCGCCGCCGACAACACACCGTCTATAGCGCGCGATAACTGCTGCGTTAGTTTCACGGACGCGACGCCAGATCTCGAACGCGCGATCATGCGCGGACGCAATAATTGCTGTGTTAGTTTCCAGCGCGAGGAGGGGAAACGGGAGAAGGATAAGAGGGTTATTGCGTTGAGCGTGGGTGTCTTTATGGTTTTTTTTATGTTGATGTTTGTGTTCTTGAGTGGGGGACGGGGTGGTGGGGGTGGGGGGTATGGTGTTAGAGGGGGTGAGGGGGGGAAGGGGGGTTATGGGATTAATGGTGTAGAGGAGGGGATGAAGGAGGGGTTGTCGTGATGATTGAGTGAGGATTTTATTAGGATTATTGGGTCGTGAGGGGGGATCTTGTTGTAAGGGATTGAGAGGGGATGGGTTGTAGGGCGTTTTTGAGGCGTTTGGGTTGGGTGTGTAGAGAAGGATTTTAATATCTCTGTGAAAGAGCGCTTTTCAGTTTTCTGTATATCTAGAACTTCAATACGAGATACCACATCACATAATTTCCAACACACCTCAATTGCTATGACATGCAACATCACTTGATCATCTTCTCTTCCAATTTCCAAATCTATCAGGGTTTAATAACACCTCTCCATCCTTCGTCAAGATATCATCTAATTTGTCACAGAAACAAAACCCTCTGTCTATCATGATTCAACCAACCCCTCCACCCCTCCCCAAAAACTCCACCACAGCATCCGGGCCCTTCTCAACCTGCAACCCAAACGGGATCGCCAACCCCTTGATCCCGGGATTCGTCTCTCTCGCAATCCGCATGATCTCGGTGGATTCGGTGGGTGTCCACATACTTGCGATGAACTACGCCAATATTTATCAACAAGAAATTCTAGGAACTGGTGGAGGGAAATAGGATGAAGCTATGATGACTGAGGAAAAGGAAGGGCTTACGAGGATATCTGGGTTATGTTTTAGAAGCATGGACTGAACTTCTTCGATCCCTACAAAAATTAATTTAGACATATTTACTTATCCTGAAAATGAGAGAGAGAACTTACTCTCACAATTCGCCAGATAACTAATACTACACTCCTCTTTCTGCTCCTCGATAAACCGTCCAATCAACACCTTTGCGCGCGCAGGCACTTTATTCACGGTGCAGAGCGTGTATGTGGGTTTTTGTTGTGTCATGTTTGAAGATTGGTGGGGGAATGAGGTTTTGGTGGGTGTGAGAAAGAGTTTGGTGGGGTATGAGGTTAGGATGAAGCTTGTGAGTTGAATTTGTTTTTCTTGAAGTTGACAGTTTTGAGAGTGTTGGAGTTTTGAGGTTGAATAATATGGGTTAATTAATAAGTTAAATTTGTAAAGTTATATATGTCGTTGGAGGTTTGATGTCGAAGGATGGGGTGGGGGTGAGGTGTTGGATAGGACGTGATAGTGTTTAGGAAATGAAAACGTATGTAGAAGGATATATAAAGCAGAAGCAATTGAATGTACTTATATCTTTATACCTATATTTTCAAGGAAAGGAACACGGTGTACGTGTTGTGGAAATCCCCGAGGGAGTTGGTGACGGGACGGGATATCCACGCGGCAATGTTTCGGCTTTTGATATATGCGCCGAAAGTGCTGGCGGCGGACAAGATCAGTGATAGTATCTTTCTACTACCCTACCAAATTGAACATTACTTGGAATTATGAACAGGGTGATGTCTTTTTAGTTTTTCATGAGAATGCGTCATTTCGCGAAATTAAACCATAGATATATCGCATTTCGTCTATTGCTTATATCGTTCTGCGACGCCCCGACAACAACCACGATTTCGAAATCACCATCTTACCCAATCTCATAAATCCAAGAAATCTAACACATATAACCCACCCTCACAAACCCTCCAAAATCTCCACCACCCTCTCCGCAGCCCTTTTCCGTCCCCCATAACCTCCACACAGCGTCGCAAGTTCCTTCGCTCTCCTTCTCATGTCTTCACCCTCCTCTCCCTCTCCAAGAACCCTCATCAGCGCCCGTGAAAACTCCCACGCGTCGACTCGTGGAGCAGCGGTTCGACTGCCGTAGACGCCGATGCCGAGGTATTCGACTCGGTTGGCGAATTCGAAGGTGTCAAGCCAGCAGGGGAGGATGATTTGGGGGATACCGACGCTGAGGGGGGTTGTGAGTGAGTATTGGTGGTCTGTGGCGGTGAAAGGGGAAAGCTGGGCGGGGAAAGTGAAGGGAGGCGAGAGAAAGGGAAGGAAGAAAGCAAGAAAGGAGGGAGTATGTACCTGAGAGCTTCATGAAATGAATTCGAGCCACCATGATGGACTGAGCAGATTATATGGCCGGATTGGAGTACTGCTAGGGGATCGACGGACATCCATTCCGTGATGTTTACGCGGCTGGCTTGTATCTCGGTGCTTACTGCGTCGAGGGAAGTGGGATCGAATGTATCAGTATAGCTTTCCTTTTTTGGTTTTATTGCGGAGTCGTTCTGGCGTTTGTCTTCGTTTTTGGTCGATGGAAGTGACAATCCGCCTGATGTTTTGAGTTTCCAGAGAATCTGAATATCCTGATGACGGTCGAGGAGGACTTTTAATGCAACGGCAAATTCCTTGATCATCTCGTTGTCCATTCTGATGTGTGATCCAAGATTTATCAGAACCGTTGGGTTTCGCCCGAGCCATGCTTCTAATTCAGCATCTGCTTCAGCTACGGATGGAACTGGGAGCAGAATCGGACCACAAGGATATACATTGTCCTTGATTTGACATGGGAAGTCTGTTTCGGGAATAGACGGTACCAGATAATGGTTTTCCATTTGCCAGGTATTGAATACTGGTGGGAGCGCTGGCAGATTCTGAGATTTCCGAAATCTCATCAATTCTTTCATTTTCGGCGAGGTGAGGAGAACGAATACGATGCTTATCTTGAGATAAATATTGGCAGGTACGAGAGACCACGGAACCGGATATGGGAAGCCAGATGAGACGCTAAATGCGTTAGCAACATCGCAGTAGTTGAAGAAGGATTTAGTACGCTGGATATCTGCATAACTGACGAAAGAATGGTTGCTGTTTTCGGAGAATATCCTGAAAAGTGTTGGGACTTAGGACGACGTAGTTTCGTATAGCTGTCTTACAGGCCTCTAGTCCTATACTGAATAATGGATCGATAACAATGATATTAGGATTTATGGAGTGGATTCTTTCCAAGCACCATTCATATCCAGCCATATATTCAGATCCATCCCATGCGGTTGCAATTGCTGGTAAAGTAGTACGATAAGTTTTCAAAGCTCCGCGCACACCAGCAGGATAAGGTCCAATGTTTCCTTGTCTCCTAACTGCTTCCATAGGTGATATAATTGGCACAGCGTGAAATCTGGCAGGATCAGGATCTTCTGAGGAGGTCATCTTGTTGAGTTCCCTGATCCGGTTCTTTAGAGGTTCAAAGGACACGATATGAATATCGTATTTCCGTCGAAGTAGAAGCTCATATGCTACTGCCAAAATGACATTTGCTTGGCCGTACTCACTGCTTGTGAAGAACATAATTCTTTTCAAGCCAGGTGTTCTCCTTGGTTCCTCATTCTCAGTGGGTCCGGATGAGTGCTCTGAAGACATAATGGAAGAAAACCTGGATTTATTGATAACTGCACAGCTAGTCAATCACGTCCACAAAACATTCAATGGCTGCCGATGTGAGCTGAATTTTCTAACAGGCGTGCTTGAATTGCTGGAATGTGGTGGTTCACTTCGTACACAACATATTGCAACTCTGGACTCGGACAAGTCAAACTCGCGGGTCTATAGAAGAGTAAGTGGTTATCTCAAAATGCGATTCCGGATAAAGAGTATCAAGGAAGCTACATACCTAATTGAGTACCCCAGCTATCATTCCAAGCGACTCCACCACTCAGCAACGGCACTTAACTGCACGACATTATTCCGGTGTCGTATAAAAGAAACCAAGTCCGGGTTTTTCAGATGAGAAGCTGTGCGACGAAGATATTTAAACCAGCGGCAATGTTGCACGAATTTGTCGATCCGAAAGCTACTCCTCACTAGAAAGACATATTGAGAGGCTAACAATTCCCGGCTCCAAGGTTCTGGCGAATCCAAACGTCTCACGGCATTTGACGCTTGATCCTATCCAGACATATGATCTGCGTATGGAATGCATTTTTCATGGACACGACATGGAAAGTTCCGATACTGTCCTCGTCATGTACTGTGTTGTCAAGACTGTAGCTTCAAAACTAGTTGTGCATGTTTGGATGGAAGCTCCGTCGTTGAGTTGAAGATTGTCCCTGCCCGTACGCATGCTTACTAATTGAGCCTTGGCAGGCCCACCATTCCCGCTTCCTTTGTCTCCCTTTTCTTCTCCCAGTGTCGACGAACTCAAAATGCTATTCATCTCACGAGCTCCGGCATCATTATATTCAGTCCCATCCTATTCGGTCTCATGGTCGACAGCACTCATGACTACAGAAATTCCAACTTCCATGAGCCTCCAAAACCCTAGAGTTCAACCTGCTGCTCGATTCTTGCAAACTTCACAAATTTCACCTTGAATAACAGGCGCTTGGAATCTTCCTCATTCTTGAGGAATTGGCTAAGCTATTTGGATGCCGCAATACTCTGCTATGGCTGCTCAATCTGTGAAACAATATTTGACTATGTAGTGATGATATGTGCAATGCCACCATGCGGATATGGGCTGCGTGATAAGTCGCAGGAGCAGCGAACAAAACAATTACAGACCTTCTTCTGGAAAGTTGAGAGTCCTTGCTCAGTTATAAGAAAAAAGTCTTACTGTTCTCTGATATGGGCTTTTAACTGGTACGTTATTCCTTCGATTATTATATTTGGTTTGGATGCTTCACTACAAATGTCTTTAAAGTTTCATGAATTTCGCGCGAATAGGTTAACCCATCCAAGAAACTCTGTTAAGTCAATAGTTTTCGCCAGCATCAGCCTCTTCACGTAACCTGTTCTTTTCTTCAATGCAGTCGCCCCTGTTGTGGCTTCTGCTTCAATTCCAGCACTTCACATGCCTTGTGATAAACGTAAAGTCCCAAGTCAATTCCGGACCTCGCAGCTAGCGAACAGTCTTTTCTCATTCAAAAACTTCCAAAACAAAGTTCACTCCTTCCAAGATCAGTTAGCGTCGTGCACTTTCGAATGATTAATCCGGCAGGTATTGCTCTGGTCAAATTGCATATATGCACTTTTTGTGGCTTTGGCAATCATGTCCGAAGAGACTGTACCTACGATTACCATCGTCATAAAAACGTGTATTTCGCGATCTTACCTATGGCTCATATTGAAGGCACGACAGAACTTTGAATTTCCTCGTCGATTCCTGTTCCGGGTGCTTGGCAGGGCATAGGTCAAGGAAGATCGATCTCATCCCCCGCAAACACAACTCCTTTGGGATATATCACCGACTTTGCAGATTTCCAGATCGCCACGGTCGCTCATGGTTGGACAACAACAGTCTTAATGGGAAATATATGATCGACAAAATGACCCCATCTGGTGACAAGTACCGCTGGATGGCAGTTTTTGGCGTGCTGGAAACTTAAACAGCAACTGTGCGCGTACATTGTGTACACTTTTGCTACGCGTTCCAATCGCTTTCTTTCCATCTGACGTTGTTGTTGATAGCGAGTCAATCTCCGCAATATTATACTGGAATAGACATTTTCATAATGTACTGTCGAATATATAAGACCTCAACAGTCACCCATTGACTTCTAATAGCCAAGCCGATTGTTCTCTTCGCTAGTACCGAGTAACTGGCCTATTTTCAATCATGGTTCATCTAAATCTTGGTCTCACGGCTCTCGCCTTCGTTTCTGTCTGCTCAGCAATTGCGACAGGTGGTGATTTCAACATCTTGTCCTTCAATGTGGCAGGCTTACCCGCTATACTCAACGGCAATGAAGTTAGCGGTGATAAAGCGACCAACGCAGGCACTATTGGGAAACTATTCTCCAAGTACGACTATGATGTTATCAACATGCAAGAAGGTATGTAGACAAAAGATATTTCTCAGATTAACTTACTCACTCAACCCCCAGATTTTGCGTTCCACGCGTACATCTATGCTACGGACACCCATCCATATAGAACGCCAACATCAGGAACAGCAGCCATTGGGAGTGGGCTCAATACAGTCGCAAACTTCAATTGGTTTAGTTTCAGCCGGGAAAAGTGGGAAACCTGTTCTAATGCCTCAGGGGCAGATTGTTTGACTCCCAAAGGTTTTACCTTTATGCGAGTACAAGTTTCCGAGGGCGTCTATGTTGACATGTATAACCTTCACACGGACGCCGGAACAGAAGCTGCTGATGAGGTTGCCCGAAGCGCGAACGTTCAGCAAGTCGCTAACTATGTCGACAAATGGTCCGCGGGTAACTCTGTCATTATATTTGGCGATACCAATTCCCGTTACACACGTGCGCTTGACAATATCGCGGTCTTCCAGACTCAAAATCACCTCATCGACCCCTTCGTTCAACTACAACGTGGCGGCGTAAATCCAACCGTCGAAACACTTTGTGACAACCCCTCACGAAACAACAATTGTGAAACCGTCGACAAGGTTTTCTACAGAGGCTCCAAGCAGCTGGCACTTACCGCCACATATTTCAACTACGAAAGCACGAAGTTCTTGCAAGCCGACGGCTCCATTCTCTCCGACCACAACCCCATCACCGTCAACTTCACATGGAGTGTAGCGCCTACCCGTCGCCAGTCTCCATTCTACGGCGGTCCACACGGAACATGGTTTAACGACCTCGACTACCTCCCAACCTCACCACGAGCATCTGTCATTACGTTCCGTGGAGCATCGAGAGTAGACTCCGTAGGCGTCACTCTCACATCAGGAGCTACTTTTACGCATGGTGGAACGGGTGGTACCGCTACAAGTCTCACTCTTAACAGCGGGGAGTACTGGACGACTGCCAAACTATGTCAAGGGCAGAAGGATGGCTGGACCAGGATATTTTATATCCAAGCTACGACTAGTACTGGACGGACTTTGGCCACGGGTACGACTACGGTTGATTGTGTTACTTATGCTGCGCCGAAGGGTTGGGGGATCGTTGGGTTTTTGGGACAAGGTGGGGATGAGGTTGATCAGTTGGGTTTGCTTTATGCTCCTTATTAGAGAAATTAATAGTAGCGAGTGTATAGCTCAGTCCTGCAACTAATAGATGCTCTCAATTATGCTCTTTAATCCTTTAACATATCTGAGTCAATTGCAAGCGGGAATGTATTTTCTCTGATCGCTACGAAACTTTAGTTCGCATGAGAACTTGAATACTAAATAACCAACGAAACATAGAGATCCGGAGAAGCAACAACTAAAATCCTCTCCTAAGATATTCTTAATTGACGAAGTCTAGCAAACCACGGTTGTGCGAGCTACCATCATTCTCGATTCCAAACCCAAGGAAGAGCTCCTGCAGCACTCGAAGATTAGAACTGTACATATCCGAGTAGTATTCTTGTTATTTTCTTGAAGTAGACGGGTGAGAATCTGAACCCCTCTCTTAACAAGCTAACCCTATGCTTTCTTACAAATAGTAAGATAAACAACACGACCTCTTAACTATTCCAAGAGTCTAAGATGTAAGTTAGAGCGGGTAAGCCCTTCCAGTTCTTTTTTCATTCAAACGGAGTCTAAAGACGTGGTAATTGTCCAGAGATAATTGACAGAATATACGATATTTTGTTAACGTGATTGAAGAAACGTCGTTTTTCGACTGTGAGAAACACAAGTAGAGTAGACGGTATCTTTCTAATTTATTTCCATGGAATCAGAAACTTCTCAATTCCTGGCAATAATTGATATGATGACGATCTTTCGTCCATCTAGCAGAAGAAATATCCTCTTTCGGCTACTATAGGTACAGATCAGGGTGTTTAAGTACTTGTCACACACGGAGGCTACGAGCTTCTTGACTGTTGAGAACAATTGACGAAATAACGATATTTCGTTAATCTCGAGGAAGAAATATCCTCTTTTGAATTTTGTAGGGTATGATTCAGGTTGGATGAATACTTTCCTAATTGATCTCCAGTGGAGTCAGTCTCAAAAGGGCTTAATTTCCCAGAAGATTTGACGCAACATACGATATTTCGTCAACCAAATTGAAGTAACTATCGTCTTTCATATGCCAGTCCATAAAACCATCAGCACGTCACCGGCGAAAGAATTAACCCTTCAAAATCCCAGCACACTCCAAAATCAACTCCTGTTTCGCCAACGGCATCTTCCGTACTCTCCCTAATGCCAGTCGTCCCTCTCGATTATTGCCTGGCAAAGATAGTAATCTGGCAAGTTCCTGCTCCTCTGGATACAGCAATGAAATTCTCGTTGCCCTGGGAGTAGATTTCCAGCGCTTCATAAACTTGGCGTCTGGTTCGTCCCTTTGCTCTGGTGTGCTTGTAACTATAGTGTCGTCTTCGCTGCTTGTTATGTACTTCCTCCAGGGCGAGATTTCGGATTCGCTGTCGTGGTATACAATTTTCTTCTCCTGTCGTGTAGAAGCGACGGGGGTGGAGGCAGAAGTTGGCGGGGGAGACTTTTGTTTGAGGCTTAGACGTTTGAGACGGCTCTTGAGAGATTCTTCGATTCGCGGCTCTTTGTGGATGACTTGTACAGTGTATTCTGAATAAGCCCTTGTCCCTTTCATTTTATTTTCAATGGCACATGCCTTCTCTGTGATCTTGTCTAGTTTTTCTTTTTGCTGTGTTGGATCTGGCTTCCATACTTGCCGCTTCCAGGCGCGAGATATTAGCTCATTAAGTACAGCAGCGGCAGAAACAGACATGACTCCTGTATCGCCCATGCGGCGGTTATCGGACGCCACACTGATAGTCGTGGATATAGAACACTGTTTTTCCAGAAGATCAATGATGAGATCGAAGAATGAGTCTACTAGCCCATACTGGTACAGCTCCTCAAAGTCGTCCTCGTTGTATCGTGAGATAGTGAAGGCCGTGTGTAAGGTATAATCCCAAATACTATATCGAATCAGCTCGTCTGTAGTCACTTCTCGCCATCTTTGATTCCAATGTCGTTGTATTGCCTGATCAGGCGAAATTGTGGCATACAGAGCTGACCAGCACCCAAGAATGTTCTGGGAAATTGTCGATCGAAGAGGTGCCATACTTTTGTCCAGATAAAGTAAAAGTAAGTCTGTAGCAATGGAAACATCAATAGGATTCATCTGAGGGGTTGCTGAGGGGCTGACAGCTCCATAATCTAATATCTCTTGTTCTTCGTCGGATTCCTCCTTTCTAAAGGGGTCCCGATACAGCACAAAGAGGGCTTGGAGGTGGCTTGACGGGCACTGGCTTGCGGCAAAGAACATAAAAGACACCGGGAAGGCCATACCGAGCCGATCGATATAATTCGCTGTCGCTGCTTCTATAGTCGATAAATCTAGGGCATCCGTCTTCCTAAATTCAGCCCAGTGATGGTACATTGTCCTTCGTACATGTGGCAAATACTTGGTAGCAAATTCCATTTCGTATGTGTCAAAGTATCTCTCGTAACTCATAATGCGGAGTAAACTTTCTATAGTAGAAGTTCTCTCACCACTATTGCATGACGATCCGGCAGTCACTTTCATCTCCCACAGAGCTGAGCTAAAAAGAGCCAGATTGACGTCGAATTTAGTTTCAGAAGTCAGAGATACTAAATCGGTCCAGATATTTTCTCCTTGTAAGAATTCGATAGCAGTTCGATGAAGGAACCCGATAGATTTCCTCGCCTTACCAGCTCCCCGCAGACATCGTCGATCATGGACTTCTATGAGCCCACAACATCGACTTCGCAGTCGTCCTTCGATCACTTCGCACCGCCATTCAGCGTCCTTTTCAGTAATTTGCTTTATTGGAACCGATAAAGCTCGTGTGTAGTCGTCTTCTTCTGCAAATGATAATTGGAGTACTGTCAGGGGAAAGTCACCATGCGTTTTTATACTACGCAGGACCATTTGTAGTAACTTAGATCCTTGTTGTCGATGGTGGGAACTCATGGATCCCAGCATATGTCCATATAGCTTTTCGAGTGTTGGGGGAAGTTCGTCCAACTTCCTCTGAAGTTCCGCAGAATTGTCGTAATCCTGAAGCCCCGAACGGAGATTCCTCACTACAAGCACGACCCAGAGGACAACACCTGCGGCTTTCTTAGTAATGCCGTCAACGAGTCTGCTGGTACAACCTGTTTCAGCAGCCTCCAGTCGCAACATGAGAGGATTTTGGGCCAATTCGTCGTAAACGTAATGTCTGATATCTTGCTGTGTCAGATCTTGAAGACGAAGTGTCGAGCAGTTAGAAAAGGCTTGAAAACAAGCAGGTATCGGACGACTCGACAGAAGGATCTTGACAGACTCGGAGGCGGTGGCCTGTTGGAATAATTCAGCGATCTCGTTATGATCGCCTAGGTATTCATCCACACCATCGATAAGATAGCAGATCTTTAATCCCTTAGGTACAGAGGCAATGAGGTTCAAAAAGGCTCTTTTCAATTCCGAAAACGAAAGACTAATCTGGGTATCGTGTTGACATGCAATGATTGTGCGGTAAGCTTCAGGAAATAATGTTGGTACCAATTGCGGTTGTTGTGTAAGCACGTCAAGTAGTAAAGACCGCAGGAGTCCTTCCTGAGACTTTTGCATGGTACTTCCCGCATACCAGAAAAAGAATGATCCGGTAATGAGCTTGGATGGGCCAGCCCAATGATTCAAAGCAGCTCTTGTCTTTTTGTTTTCTTCGATGTATTTCATGAGCGTACTCTTCCCACTACCCGCCTTACCGTTTATCCAATAACAGCCCTTACCTTGCCTCAGCCAGTTATCGAGACTGTCCCACGGCGTATCAAGGGAGCTAGGCTTTTTGAATATCCATTCGAATGTGTGAGTATGAGGCATAGGAATTGCAGCACGTCTGTCTGAAATGCTCTGAAAATGAAGAGCGTCCAAGATTCTCTGAGTAAAATCTGTGAATTCTCGAGTTTCGATACTGGAGTGCGGCTTTGTAGAGACATCAGCTGCAGTAGCTTGCTTGAAAGTTGTTGCAACGCGCTGGTCGGTTGATGGGTTAGACTCGAATATTGACGTTGAAGAACCTGTAATAGTTCGAGAATCGCCACCTCTAGTTGTCAATATTGCTGCAATGGTCTCTGCATGGCGTTTATTTAACTTATTATTCTGATCGTTGATTGCAGACTGCAAGGTTCCTAGGCTGATAGTCACGGCTTCCACAATTTCGCCATTGCTTCGGGACAACTTGTCCAGCTTTTTGTCTTGCAGCGTATGCTGAGAATTTATGACCAGAAGCAGTCTAAGAGTTAACTGGCTTCTATAGTCATTGAGTCTTTGTGACAGAGTTGCGATTTGCTGACTGGTCCAAACAGTTTTAATAGCGGCTCTGATACTTGTCCAAGTATCTTTTTTGTCGCCTGTTATTGTGACTTTGGTTAAGCATTCGACGAGCTCTTGAGCAATCTCATTACATCGGATAGCGAGCGATTGGAGGTCCTAAACGTCATTGTCAGACTATACTATGATTCAGGTTTCGAATGCCACTTCAAGCCTTGATAACTGACCAGAGCTTCTTGAGATAAGGTCGCACTACTTTTCACATCGACCTTCAGTTGTCTCTTCAAGCTCGAGTTTATCCCCTTGATATCATTTGTAATGGTTGACAAATGCTGTACGTTCACAGAAGAGCCTAAATCCGCAATTTCTTTCGTTTGGGAGACAATTTTCGATCCGTAGTCAATAAATTGAGCGATGGCAGCTGCAAGACTCAGGGCGGAAAGAGGATCCATACCAGTGATGGAGCAGTAAGAAGTTGGAATATATATGTAACTTGGCGCAGGTCGTTTCCGTAAAAATGGCCCCCACCGCTGCCTGACATAAGATGCAAGCTGGCAGCCATGTTTCTATCCAATCGAGTACCGTTGCCACCGAAAAGCATGCAACCCAAAAGGAGTCTTGGCGAGGCAGACACGAAGGAAATTTGTTAGTTTTGAGATAGAATAAAGGATATGGATTATGGCCTGAAGATGATGGACGAACGACAATGCTGGAAAGGCGAATTAAGGTGGTCATTTATATTGAGATGTTCAACTGGAAACTCGGGACGAAAAGAGGGAAGCGGGCTCGATATGGTCATGTGATTATGTTAATTATTCACGTGCAATGATACTAATGGTAAGAGACATCTCACCACTATATTATAAAGCCTAGGATGACGCAAAGACTTCCTGTTAATCTGTTAACTCTTAATGCTACGTTTCCATTGAGTTTTGTTGTTTCCGAGAGCAGCCGGTTTTGCAGATGAAAAAATACGGCGGGTCTGCCAGTGTATACATGTAGTAACGCGTTCAAAGTCGAAAGTATGGGATATGAAAATATGAGCTCTTGAAACAGTGATAATTCGGGGATTCGCCTGCACCCTGGCTTAAAGTTATAGATTTATTTCATTATTATGTACTGTTTCGCTGTTCTATTTCTGGCATTTCGCTTATTTACTGGCAATATCGATCAGACACCAACTGTAAGCATCACTCCAAGATCAAGTCGAGTTGGAATTATCTGCACAGCTGAAAGCACCACCTAGCACCGTATTAGCAACAGGTCACCTCAGTTGGAACAACAAACTTACCAATTTGCCCACTTGCGTAAGCGCTAATGATAGATTGAACAACACCATAAGTTCCACCAACACAAATAAACAAACCCAAGACAGGCAAAAACCAGTGAGCCCAGTACTTAGCTTTCTGTACCATAGTTCCGCTTTTATAATGGCCATGATCATGGATCCAGAGAGCTCCTGGAAGCATAATAGCAATTGGCGCGAAACAAAGACTTCCAGTCAATGCGATAAGATAGTTGAAGATTGGAATCGCCTCAGCGAGGATGAATGCGAGAGCTGCGAGACCGAAGGTACAGCCAAGCCAGACGCCCCAATGAACCACAGTGTTTTGCTGTAGGTGACGAGTCTTTCGGAGAATGCGGACGAAGAGGTATTTGGACGCTACGTGTAGATAGAGTGTTGCTGAAACAAGTAGACCGATAAGACCAATACCGTATGCGATTTTCTTGATGGTAGGTCCCGCGGAACCGAGAGAGGGTGAGGCAACCCATTTCCCACACCATTTGTACACAACGAGAGCCAAACTCAGGTATGCTGCCGTGACGAAGCCCATGCATGTGAAAAGAGCCTTTCTGTAATCCTTAGGCTGGCGCATCTCTGAGATGACGGGAAGAAAAGCAGATGTTCCTGCTGAAGAGACGAAGATGGTTGCCGTTGCTGTAATACCTGCCACAAACGTTGGGTATGCAATGACGTGATAACCGAAGTCGTAGTCTCCAGTTTGAGGTGCTGCTGCTGGACGGTCAAGAGTTGTAACTGCGATGACAACAATGAAGACGGCGATGAAGATACTTGCGAATCCGACCCATGTCAACCAGCCGATTGTGTGAAACTTGCGGACTGAAGCTGTTGCCGCGACGAAGACCGTAGCAATCAATCCCCACCACACACTGCATGCGGCGTGTGTGGAGAGGGCGTTGATGCCGATTGAAACCCCAAGAATGCCAGATCCAGTACATAGAACATATGCAGCGAGGAAGAGGACTCCAACGATCTCTTTGAGTACAGGACCACCTAACACCCCTGCCATATCTGCGATGGAATGGGTTCCAAGATGTCTGTTACGGAAGTCACCTTGAATGACTGCAGTATAAGTGTTCAACAGGCCCCATCCGATGACTGAAAGTGCTCCACCAAGTGCTCCTAACTCGTACATGGCTGAAGGTATGCTGAGAACACCGGTCGCAAAAATGACTGTACATCTGTTAGCAAGGCGATTTAATGCAGTCTCGAAATAACTTACTCTTCAGGAAGATCACAGTTGCTCGCGGCCATGAAACAGTCCGGAAATCGACTCCATCCGCAGTCTTCTTGAAAACCTCATGGTCTTCAACATCACCCACTTGGGTATCAATCACCCCAGTGCCGCCAACTGGCCTCTTCTCCTCATCTGAGCTGTGATGCTTTTCCGACATACTGCTCATTGTCGTCGATTTCTTGATGAGTTTTCGAGATGATCGACACTGCAACAGAAACCGAAATAACAAAACGAGGATACAGTTACTCCTTAAATCAAGCGAGACTTACTAAAAACCACTGTATAGATAAGGTATCACTCAACAGCGGTACATCTGATCCGAAAAACCCTGGGGTTCCATAACTGCACAGCCAGTATGGCAACAGTCAAGGCTTACGACATGCCAAAGATAAGGTCTCATCCTGATTGTCGAATTGCATCTGCTCAAAGCCAAAAGAGACCAGGATAAATTTGGGGACAGGCACCAGAAGCACTCAACGACTATCTGATAAAGTACTAGAAACTATATTGATGACCTCAGAGTACGCCATTTAATGCAAGGAACGCTTATCGAGTTGCTTTATCGCAGGGCGTAGGCCCAGAGTTGTGCGACAGCTTGAGGTTAAGAACTTATCTTGGTATTGATAACTTGATAGACAATTTGTTGCCCGTCTCAGAAAGACGGAGATCCGATGAGGTAGCTCGAGAGTGGGTTCAACGGTATATCTGGTCGGCTTGTGGTCGCTACTTGGAACAAGTCCCGAAAGTGGGGAAACATAGAAGCAGTTTGACCTTCCTCTGGATCGTAAGAGTGATAATCTGACAAAACATGAAAACAATACAGGCTCGATGGGAAATCTGCTCTATGCTATGCCTGGCGATAGCTGTGTTGGTATGGCTTCGAGCAATCTTGATGCCCGAAAAGCCCGTATGGTGGGTTAAATCTCGACATAACCCTAGTGTTTTCCATGATATTGTTCAGTCGTTAACCCTTCCCACCTAAGTTCGTTTGTTCCGAGACACTCAAAAAGGACCTGGAGATTTGCAGACATCCGCGATCTGGTTCCAAGAGAGGGTCCGATAATGTTGATTTTGGCAAGATAGAGCGATAACCATCATGAGATGTAGTAGAGGATAGGCTTTTGGTCATATGGCCTAACAAGACATAGCCAAGTGAAAGCCATTAGGGGACAAAGACCGTTTGCTATTTCTAGATGGCATCATTGAAGGTATACGTTCTTCCACGCAACGCGCGCTGGAAAGTTGTGCGGGCGGTGGGATATCATGCTCGTCATATGCTAACAAGATGTAAGAACGAGTCGAAATAAGCAACCGACGTAGATATAGAAAAGGGCGTATATTGATCATGAACAGATACTCGTTGTAGGGCCGAAAAATAAGTCAAGGAGAAGGCGACCAGATGGAAATAGAGTTCGGAAAACGTGACCCTCGATGGTCCGTGCGCAATTACTTCAATTTGCGAGAAGCGAGAGCCAAGTCGATCTACGCCAACTTCATCAGTTCATCCCATCTGTCCCGTTTGTACGGAGTAAACCTTCTGGAAGACAGTCCGACCCACAGCATAAGCCGCGTTGCTTTGAGAGAATGAGAATGAGGCTGTCTAGTGTAACATCAACCAGGCTGCGGCCGTGTGGGGAGAAATCTCAAAAATGACGCATCTCATGATTGGTCGGTGAGTGGAAAGATACTTCTTGGAGTCTTGGACTCATGCACCATGTGAGAGGAGTGTTCAGCTCGGGAACATCTCATTTCCCGATTGAATATTGATGCGAAGAGCATAAGAGGTCACCGGATATTTCACGAAATCGGACCAACATTAGCGGTGGTGGCTATGAGCTCTACCAATATTGTCAGCGACTCCTATAGCTATGCCTGCTCGGTTCGCTCCAAGACTGGCAGATCAGATGAAGATGGCTGATGAAATCAATCTTTTGCCGTTCATCATGGTGTTACCGTGTTACCAGTTCGTCTCGCAGTCAAATCTTGGCCTTTCGAAATCCAAATCTGGCTGTTGCTCGCCTGACACCCCTGACATGTGGCTCTGAGCTCTCAACAAGCTGACTGGATAGCGTGTTCGAGCCATCCAGGCGTGAAGCAAAGGTCGAGATCACGAAAACTTTCAGAAAATCGGATTCTATAGTTGGATATCTCAAATTACAGTCTTGGGTAACTACATCGCTAAAACAAACCAATACAATTGCGTCTACCAAATCAAGACATCTCATTATCATAATCGATACTCGCACCAGAAGAAGGAATCCGCACATGCCACTCATGGCGAATGATTTCGGCCTTTTGAATGAACTGTCCTTCGACTTTGTTGTCTGGCACCACCAGAGCAAGACGTGTCACAACAAGGTCCTTCATCTTTCGATACATCACGAGATGTAAGCCTCCGTACCACATCAAACCCCACGTTAAAGTCGACAACCCAATTGTAGGAATGACGAACCACTGTATGTGGGAGTTTTGGTACGAATATGGCGAGTTATCTGCCGGCTTTACGAAAGAGGCCACCAGGAGAAATCCACAAGTGACGCAGTAGATCACTGCGTGCAGTGGGTCTATCCAGAACCTAATGTTGGCGTCCTCCTTCCAATTTCGACTTGGGCTTAGTTTCAGATATAACAGTCCACCAGAGCAAAAGAATCCCATTAAAATGATGATGGTGTACGAATACAGGCCCACAAGTGCCGAATATGCAGTACCGGTATCCATCATCGAAGTGATAGCAATCAGAAAAACGGAGGTAAACCAATGTAGTCCAAGGGCGGCCATTGGGGTTTGCTCCAAATGCTCATTGTCAAGTGCCCTCGAGGGAAAGAACCTTTCTTTGAGGCGAGCGAAAGAAGTGGTATGACCAGTCGCGAAGAAAAGCGAGAATGGCAGGATGCCTTCTTTAGCAATCTCCTGTTTCACACGAGCTGCTGTGAAAGTCATGACGACTATGTTGCCGAATATGGAGAAAGCTATCATCGCAGACATGACTCTTTTAGCTGTTTCATTGCCGAATACCTGGTCGAAGAACACCGTCGCCATGTCCTGTGCTGACGCTATATCCGGAGTGTCCTTCGATACTGCGCAGAAATAGCTGATGTTCATCAGGACAAACAACGACGTGGTTGCAAGCATGGCAAGTAAAGTGTACTTGGGAAACACCTTTCTCGGCCTCGAAACCTCGCTTAAAACATAGAATGGCTGCTCGAAGCCAGAGTACGTATACACAATGAACAGAAACGAGTCAGTATAGCTAGCAAGGTCGCGTTTGTCGGTCTTGAAAGCGACATTCGGTGCAAGGCTATCAGCAGCATCGACCGCTGGTCCACCAAGTTTGTGGCCAGCTCCTTTGATAAAGCCGAGGACAATCATGGTGAGGAGAATCAATACCTTTACAACAGCAAATCCGTTGTTGAGAAGAATTCCACCTCTGCGGGAGAAAACTGTTGAAATGTTAACAATGTTGCAGCAATTAGATCAGTGAGAATGCCGGACATACTGTGCACTCCTATGGCTAGCGTCAAAGCAGCAATCGCGATTCCGATCACGACAGCTTTTGAGGGGTCAGGCACTCCAGCGGCTTCCATGATGAAAGTTCCAAAGGCAATAGCATTGCCAGACAGGTTCCCCAAGAGAATGAACACAATTCCGTACATGCAGGTCACCAGAAATTTCGGTCGTCCAGTGGTTGGGTTTGTATAGATGAACTCGAGCTTCTCGCCGTCAGCGAATGTCACCGCTTCTACGCTCGATCGCTAACACTCACATAATTCTTTTCTCCTCCACTTCTCGGAACGCTAGTTCGCTCGAAAATCCCTGGCATCACCTGAACGACGCGGATAGGGAGCGAAAGGCCCAACTCCAGCCAGACCAGCAATCCACAAGTTCCTACGATGCCACCAAGAAACCAAAGTAACATCGACGCTCCGACGCTACCAGTTCCATTGTAGACTTTGATAGGAGACACAAATATTCCGGATCCTATGCTGCGTTAGTAGATGAACTCTTGTTCGTCGACACTATGACGATTACCAATAGTGCGGTTCAAAATGAGAGCAACGACTGTAAATCTCCCAAGTCGCTGGTTGGTGGTGGGTGCTTCATCAATACGTTGATGGTCCTCATCTAGATCCTCGACGGCTCGGTTCCAATCATCTTCATCAAAATCAGCAGCCATTGCGTCTTGTTTTGGGGCAAAAGTTTGCAGCAATTGCGGGATTTGGGATCGCCTTACACCGAACACTTGGGGCTTTCGCTCACTATTATACACGATCGCTATTCAGGTCACTTTAAACTCTCCTTCTGCCTTGCCAGGAAGCCCACAGTTCTTGCAGCACCATAACGACTTGGCGTTGTGATTCATTGTCTGAAATGACCTGACTGACCCGTCTGCGATACGCTATCGAGCGGCTGAGTGGCTGGGCACAGCCGAAATATTGACAGTGAGGCTGTCGTGACCACCTGCCGTAGTGGACACCACCTAAATGGGGGACACCGCTGACCAAATGTGCTTTCCAGGCAACCGTACTGATAGCTCTTGCTAAATACAACTGCTCTTCGCACCTTCGACAACAACCCCTACACCTGTGAATTGCGATGTGGCAGAGAGTGCCGTCCCTGAGCGATGTCGTTTGGCTTTTCTCCTGCTGATATTTTGACTGGAATAAGGACCTGTAGATGGCTATGGAGTAACTGCTTTGATAAAAACAATGCTGCTGGTATGCCTGATCTTACCCCTCATTCCAAGCTTGGATGTGATGCTAACCCGTGGCCGTGATAGATGAGCGATACAAGCAATTCGGCAACGATGTTAAATTGCTTGAAACCCGTCTTGAACAACTCCAGACGGCATTTGAAGCTGCTCTCAATAGATATGAACAACCTAATCTAGATGCAAGAGATCTTCGAGACGACCTACGAGATGTAGTAGGCGATTTCCAAAAAACAATCAACCAGTCGGTTGAAATTCTTACCAAAAATGTCAATCTTCGAAGAAACCGCGCAGGTTTTATTGACAACATCATTTGGGCTGCAAGTTCGCAGGAGAAAGTTGACGCCTTGGGACGCAGAATACAGTTCCATACCCAGAAGATCTATCTGGTGATGGAGCCGGTCACACTAGGACTTCTCACAACTATCGATGGCAAGGTGGATGAAATTTTGGACTTGATGCGTACTCATTTTGCAATTGAGTCTCCCCTTCCACCATTACCACCATGGCTTGATGCGCGTCTTCAAGAGACTGTTCTCGAAAACCCACCTGATGGATTCATCGACGTAACCCGTATTCCGTTGAAAGAGGGATTTGATGCTTTATATTCTCATTTCAGAGAAAGTACTTACGCTTTCCGTGACCCCGAAACTGCGGATCAAACAGTCGAGCAATATCTAAACCTACTTAAATCACAATGGTTACTGGAGGCCCTGAGAAGTGGTGTGCCTTATCAGAGTGCGCGTCCAGGATCGCTCTATCCTCGAACCATGGCCCAACTCGAGAAACGTATCAAAGATCAGTATCGACGTAAAGATATCATAAGGTTTTCTGACATGGATCTTCAACAAGTTAATCCGACAGCTTTTCTCATTTGGCCGCCAGAAGAGGTTATTCAAAATAAATTTATGACGGATCCCAATGTGGGAGAAGAGGAAATATTGAAATTATCGGTGCCCAATTATCTCGGCGCTGTTGGAAAAGACAACTTGGTTGTATTTCGAACCGGGCCAATCACTCTTAGGATTGTTCGGAGTGTTATTGGAGATCGATCCGGAACTCCTTATTACGAAAGCGAGAGATTCAATATCCATATTGATAGGTTTATTCCTTTCTATGCAATATCGCAAAATACCCCAAGCAGTGGCCAGCGACGAGTGTCCGGCGCAATGGCTAGTGTTGGAATTCATCGCGGTAACGAAACCGGAGAAACATCGTATGATATCAAAGAAGAGAAGGATATGTTAGATTTCCAGAGGACTGTCACAGGATACCAGGTCGTTTTCGATAAGAATCCGGCATGGGCACTCAATCATTCTCCGAAATTATTAAGAGGACAAGGGAAAGTTCAGTTATGGCATTGGAAGCCATTGACGCAAGACAGTTCAGCGAGACGAGAGTCATTAATCTCATCATCTTCGTCTGGCGATTCTCAGGCGACAAATATGACGCGGACTTCTGCTGCAGTCGAGATGGTACTGAAGGGGCGGGATCGCTCGCGGATATCAGTTCATGAGCGTTCCGATAACGAATCTACGATAGGTGCCAGTACACCTCCACTCCCGGTCATTATAGTGTATTGTCGGGTTGGGGGTGAATATAGCTTCTATCACATAGAACGTAAGTTGCATAGCTCTAGATCACAGCAAACTCGGCATCACTAACTTTGGATTGTAGTTGGTTTTGGAATGCAAATCATACCAACCGCCTGCGACTGTAACAAGAAAGCCAAAACTTGCCGTAGAATCGTGATCGAGAAGCGTAAACCAAAGGGCTCCGATATTCCCTTCCAGGTGCGCCGAATGACTTCGGAACTGAGTCAATGGAACCTCTCTATTTTCGCCTATCCTCGACATCCGCGTTTTGACGACCGGAAACAAGTACAGTCCCTCGATTGCAGGTTCCTTAACCTTGACTTTGACTCAGTTGCGGATCGCGAGGAATTCACCCGCAAGTTCAACAAAGCACTCGAGCTGCGTGACACAGCAGAGAAGGAATTCCGTAAAATCTGCAACCGAACTTCGTATCTGAGCGAAAGATTAATAGAGACGGAGCCCAAAGATAAAGAACGACGAGGAAGCACGCTCTCAAAATTGGCTAGAGCAAGTACGGGCTCTAGCTTCAGAAATAGTATATCGTCGGGTAGTAGCTCCACTAGTAGTGAGACTATCAAGGGGCCTTCGATTCCGAGAAAGCCGGTTGCGCCAGTGGAACTTCCTGCTGTCTCGCTGATGAGGTTGAGGCCCATTTCGACGTTTTCGAGTTTGAATATGGATGGGATTACGGAGAAGAGATATGAGTGAGGATTATATGTGTCTAAATGGACGAAACAAGAGTCATGATCGAGTTAGGGGATATACCACGAACGACTTAGGATGCTGAAGTTAACTTGCCTTACCGATATACAGTTTAAAGCGAGGCAAATAAGCGGGACCGGCAGCTGTTGATATATGGTGGAAGGTCCATAGCGCTTAATGGTGTGTTTCTGTTGGTGCAGACGACCGGAAAAGAGACTTTCCACAGCATACTTGCCGCATTTTTAAGAATGCAGAATAAGAGGCACAGTAAGATTCTTCAAACACACACAGCGCGACGAAGTTCCAACACGGAACCAATTTTGAGAAACTCACATTACGATTGTACGATACACGAATGGGCGGTTATTCTTGTTTGCGATTTTGGGTGATACCCAGCGGGCGTTCAGATGGTGTTGTCTTATTTTAGCTTGCTAGCGTCTGTGTAGATTTTTAGGGCGGTGGGTGTGTAGGTATAGGTAGTTTGTAGTTTTAATTTGAGATTTACATACGGTTATAAATTTTCTCCAACTTGTTAGGTCTGAATGCGTGTGAGAAGTGTCTATAAATGGCTATGTGGGGTTTCTTTTTAGATTTACCATTATACTTGCTTGTGAAGGGGGGAAAAGGTGATGTGAAGTGTAAAGAATAGTTCTTCTTTCCCTTGGCGAGAATTTTAGATGTTCTTTCTTATACGCTCACATTTGGTTCGAGCACTCCTTAGTATTGAGATTTTCTCCGGAAAGATTACTGAGCTAGCTCCGCTCTATAGCGTGCTGGATTTAATCATCATAAGAAATACTATATTCAGAGTTAGCCTCTCGAAAAGTGCACGCCTGCTGGTTTGTAACGATATTGGTATCTCTGTCTTATAGTTCATTTTGATAGGTCTAAATATTATGTCGAGACTCGCCGTCTGTTCAGATGTGCGATAAAGAAACTGGCGATTAAGAGAAAAGATTTTTTTCGAGGTACTAGGGAATATATTTTATCAGGTCTGGGATGTGATATCCCCATAGCGGCTAACAAAATATCTAGCAAATTATGTTTTGAATCTTGATTGGGAGTCTGAATGTCCGCACTTCTGGGGGAACTTATATTTATTTGGATTCTTGGGTTTTTCTTGGATTTTGTTTGGGGTGGGGGGAGTTGATTGGTTTCTTTTGGCGTGCTGTTGATATGTTGAAAGGGATGTGTGGAGAGTGTGGATGGTAGAGGTGGGATTGAGTTGTTTTAGAAGGGCTGGCTATTTATTTAAAGAAGAGGTCCTAGATAAGACTCTTGATTTCGATAGATTTGAAGGAGGTTTTGGTTTTAATAAGACAGTATAAATAATGTGCGAGGGATAGCCTTTTAGGAAATGAGAGGAAATTCTTCAAGAATACTAGTGATTGTACATTGGGAGCCCCTTGACTGATTCAATCATAAATTTCGTTGCATTATCTCTATATCTGCGATCTACTATATCTCTTCGCATAACTCCATTATCAACGCCTTCGAATCCCAGCCAGTTCGCTCTAGATCCAGTCTACAATTTCAATCGCAACACCACCAACTCTATGTCCCAAATTATCCACTCCCACCCTCTTCCATCGTACCTCTATTCAAATCTTAGCTTCATTCTCTTTCTCCTTCTCCTTACCCGCCTTTTCAATCGCTTCCTTCTTCCTCGCCCTCTCCTCCGCCTCCCTCGTTTTCTCTTCAAATAGCTCTTGACTATACCCTTCTCCTAGTAACCACGACTCTTCCTTCCCCACCCCCCAATTCTCCCGCGCCAAACTCTTCAACGCCACATCCACGTCCGTATTGATATCATTCTTTAGACTCTCCACATCTATATAATTAAGCTCCTTGCGTATGTATCCTAGTATACTAACGCGCATGTAGTCCCCGTAAAAGTCTTCCTGGAAGTCGTTCATGATGAAGACTTCGGCGGATCGCTCTTTGTTGCCGTAGAATGGGTTGAAGCCAATGGACATGACCATAGGGTAGATGCGCCAGTTTGAAGAGCTTGGAGGGGGCGTTTTGAGGTCGGAGAGCGGGAATATGGCATGGTCTTTGGATTTGCGGTCGGGAGAGTGCTGGGGTTGGATCTTGGGGGGCGTCTGGAGGTCGGGATGGGTGTCGTGGAGGCGGAGGCTGACCCAGCCGAAATGAACGCCGTCTATGGGGTCTTTGGTTGGTGATGTGCCTTTCATTGTTTCGATGCTGGACGCGTTGGTGTTTTCTAACCCATCTTCATTTAACCATGGTACGCCTTCTACTGTTATATTCGCTGTAGGAAAGCCTAGCTGGAATCGTGAATAAGTCAGCGACATTGGTCTAGAAATTCAAATTGAAGTTGGGTAGAATAGATCGGCGCGCAAACATCTTTGGAACCTCTTTTAAATCCATGTTCAACTACTCCTTCCATGCGCCGTGGGTATTCTGGTTTTGGTCCTTCATCTGCGCCTACTACGGAAGGTCTGTGACTCCGTATCTCAGCACTCTCTGTCGCGGATGGCATGTTGGTGGTTTAATTATTAGGATGTGATGGAAGAAAGATACCGAGATTAAAAAGCGCAAAGTCTATAATCCTCAAAGGACTTGCAATGTTCAATGGCGGAGTGAGGTTCGGTTGTTGATATCAATATTGGTCAGCGAGGCTGCGGAACTTTTTGGATAAGACGGCTTGATTGTCCCGATGACGGAAGAGGAAGCTGCCCCACCTTTGTTGAATAGGGAGAATTTGAAGCTATGAACACATATTTCAGCGATGTTTTATATAATAAAGTAATATGATTGAAAGTGCCTCTTTTATTTTTCAACTCTTCTTAAACATCGACGCGTGCCCGGAGTATCTTCCCCCGTTTCTTTCATACGCGAGTTTAGCCAGCATGTGCTATACTAAGAAAACACTCTAGAAACGGGATAAAGTATATATGAGGTTGAAAATATACTGAAAAAAGAAGGATGAGGTTAGAATACTTAGGTACTTGTTTTGTATGATTGAACTTGTGAAAATTTGAATGAGAATCGAACCTGGCAAGAGGATGATAAAATTATTGCTGTAGTATTGGGTTAACACTGTAAACGAACGATTAAATATATTGGTTTGGTTATGAAACACTATAAACACATTCAATCTTGACTCGCTTGCAGAGAATTCGAGAAGGTGCAATGTTCCTAAGATGTCAAGAGAACCAGAAATAATGTGTGAAGGTAAGTGATTGAACAATAGGTGAAGTGTGGTCTCGAACGGTCTATTCTACGGGGAGCTACCCCGCCATGCGTGCACTACCCGACAATACCGAGGAATATCCGAGGCGCGGAAGCGGACTGCAGTTGTTTGTCTGTGAGTCCTTCAAACGGGTTAATTGAGGAAGACTTAGAATGTAATGCTTATAATTTACTAAAGAGGCTAAAGTACGCCAGAAATAAGCTGACGGTGTTTATAA